AAAGTGCGATAATAGGGCACAGAACTGACAGGCTACTGAGACATTCAGCGACTCGGTTCTCATGTGTTTCTTCTCTGTTTTAGTGATTGTTTAGACAATCACACTTTGTCCAACACCTGAATGAGAGAGCTACAGTAGTATGGAAGTGGGGATTTGAGAGGTGCAGTGACTAGTTCAAACTTGAAAACGAAGTGAAGTCAATATCAAACTGTCCTGACTCGGGCAAACGAAGCCAGTCTTGTCTACACGATCTCGGCGAGACTCTAACCCGGACCTAGCCCACTGAGTCGTTTGGGTGCAAAACGAATCCCTTGTACCTGTTCTGATATGGAGAGCATACGGATTATTGTGACGTTTCAAATCAGAGTAATCTGCTGTGCAGAGGGTGACTTGTGTCTGTTGCTCGACTTCATCCTCTAATGCTCAGGTATTCATGAAGATTTCGTCTGGGGAAGACCTCGATGTGATGGGTAAGTGTGATGGTCGGGTTCCCTCCAGTACTGCACTGTCATGCAGTAGTTTTATACGGGCCCCGTTCAGTTGTCTGATTATTGCCTTAGCCTTGCTATGTGCATGAAATGCAGTGTTTATACAACAATAGTTTAACTGGTTGTCACTGTTCTCTTCTGCTTTTGTGGTATTACTCCATCCTCGTGGTGTTGAGCACTGTAGCAGTCTGGGAATTCCCGTTATTGTACGTGCCTGTCTTAAAGAACTTCCAAAGGACGTCTGTCTTGCTTGTATTGTGTATTGTCTGTGTTACGTTTCCCTTGGGGGTTACTAACCTGAACACCTGTACGTGTCTGTTTCTCTTCTTCTTCTTCGGCAGATGTGGTTGGGAAAAGCCGCTTGCGAAATGGTGAGTGAGAAGTGTGTGCAGCTGATTACTGCTAACACCAGACTAGCACACACTGATGATGTGCAGACTGTAGTGTACGCTTCCCCATCCACCCTACTCCCTAGACCAGGCCCGAGTGACTTTTTCCTCTTTCTAAAGATGAAATCGGAGCTAAAAGGTCAACGCTTTGTCGACAACGACGAGGTGAAAGAGGCTGTTTTTGCTTTCTTCGATGCTCAAGAGGAGAGCTTTTATTCCACGGGAATACGGATGCTGATTCGTCTATATGAGAAGTGCATCACAGTTAGTGGTGATTTTTATGTGGAAAAATAACATCATAATTCAAGGTATATTGTGTGATTTCGGGGCAAAGGCTCAAAACATTTCGTTTCCGTGTTGCTTGTGTGTGTGTGTCGGTGTGTGTGTGTGTGTGTGTGTGTGTGTGTGTATGTGTGGTACTACAGCTATGTCACACATCCCCTGTTTGCGCTGCTGCACGCACGACAACGACAGCAGCAATGGCTCGCCTGTACTGCCGGCACCCAGCCACGATTCCACTGCAGCCCACACCAACGGGAACCTGGCCATGCCGCCGGCTACTACTCGAAACACCAGTGCTGCTTCTTCTATGATGATGGTTGTGGATGGGGCTGGCGCTGACAGCGTTACTGGCTTGTCGGATGGTTCTTCGGGACCTGATACTCTTGTCGACAGCGGATGGCACTCTGGTATGTATTTTAACAACACTCTTATAACACCTCCCACTGCTTTAGGAGCTGCATATGATCCTTCATCCTAGAGGGTGATGGCGTTCCCACGGCGGATGCGCAAAACTCGGCCTTCAGCCGATTCTCACGCGAATCGTGAATTGTTTTTTTGTTTGTTCTTCATGGCACCCTAACATGATTCGTAATGTTTGACACAATCTGCACCCAGTCCCCACACAAATACCGGCATACCAGTGCCATTATCATGTTGTCTGGTGATTACACGGTTGTCACACATGAAACTCTGAGTTACGAGCACAGAGCCTTTCTGTCCCGCACTGTTTGACTGTTCTATGCTCTGCCCGATGGCATGTTGAGCACTCTGTGCACGCTAGGTGCATCCCTCGTAACAACACTCTCACATGCTATATAATGGTTTGAACCCTCCACATGCAGCCGGCTCCCTTGTGTTGACTACCGTTCGACAGACTCCTGCATGCTGCCTTTCCAGTGTGCTGTCAGACCCGGTGTACTGTTGTCTGCACGGCTGTAGCTGCCCCTAACAGGTGCTGGCGGATGAATGGACATGCTGTGTGCTTGCCACGTATCAGAGTCATGGCCAAAGCTGCGTGTTATGCTGTGCCTACCTTTGGTTGTTGGCCTTCACCATAGCATAGTGCATGGCTTCGATTTTTTAAAGACCTTTTTTCTATGCCTTATCCCCTTGGTAGTAGACCAGTGTGGTTGTAATGGAAGTATGATACAGTGCAGTGCAACCGTGCCGTACTGTAGCAAACATCATCATCATTATGTTCATGCTGCACTCCGTGTGTGGAATGCTGCAGATGTTTGCACGGGTGTCCAATCTGACTCGTCGGCCCTCTGCAGATTACTGTCATGGTGATTTTGCCACTGCATCTCTTCTCACATACTGCTATGATGTAGGCACACATGTTTGTACTAATCACACTTGAGAGGAATCAAACGCGTTTCTGCTGTAACTCTGTTTGTACTATGTATTCCCCATTTAACCAGTACTACTATTCTCGGCCATCCAAGCATGAGCTGTTTGCATGTTTGTGCTTGTCTATTTGCATAGCTAACGGCGAGGTTCTACTCTCCGACCAGCAGCAGGAGGAGAATGTGAATCAGCTGGGTGTTGAAGCATGTCTCTCTGAGATCACTCTGAACCCTGTCAGCATTGTTGGTGGCACTGGTGCTCAGCTCGGTGCCACTGATAGTAGCAGTACGTGTCAGCAACTGTCATCTCATCCGGCCAAGCAGCTGGCCTGGCAGCAGTTCAAGGCGCTGTTCTCCAAGCGCTTTCACCACGCCAAGAGGAACTGGAAGGGCTTCTTCGCTCAGGTCAGTGATGTTTCTGCGGACCCTTGTGCGCTTCGCCAGTTGGTAAAATAGAAACTCTTTAGTCTTTACAGACATGCAGAATGGAAAGTATGTTCTACCCAGGCCATTCCAGGGCACTTTAAACTGAAGTGTTTGACTGTATTTCACCACTGTGTGTGCAGCTTGCTGGTATAGTACTGGCCCTGTACGCCGTAGATGATCACCCATGCCTGTGTGTCACCATAATAGATGCAGCATGCCAGGGCTTAGAGTGAGTAGTAGCTCTGGTGGAAGTGCAAACTACTCCCGTGCACTTTCACTGTGCTTGGTAGTGTACTACGACAGTCAGTGTGCCTACAGCCAAGAGTACAGTCATAGTGTACTTTTGGTACAGCTCAAGACATGTGAGATATTGACTCACAAATACTGGTACACTTGCACAACACAACAGTTTCAACTACAACCAAGATCTGCCAGTTCTCACCGAGTGAATCGTGTTTGCAGTTTTGCACTCTCCGGTGATGAAGAACGCGCATGTGCACGTTCGCAAGCGACATGCGACTGCTCATGAATGAATGCTTTGGACGCTTTGATTGGAATCCACTTTCCAGTCAGGCTTGTGTTGAATTCCTGCTGTGTGATGACTGGTGGTTCCATGGTTTCTGTTTGTAATTTTGCCATGGCTGGGTATCGCCCTCATCTCTGGATTTGCTCCACATATTAGCGTTGTTTGCATATCCTACAAGTATGAGATTGAGTTGAACAAATACATAGATAAATAAATAAAATTAATGAATGGTTACTACCCACCACTTTAGGAGCTGCATCTGCGCCTTGATCCCACGGGTGGTGGCATTCCTACGGATGCGGACAACGAGTCTCACGCGAACCGTGAATCTTTATTATTATTTTTTTACTGCTACCGTATGTGCTATTTCTGCCTTGTACTTCCACTGTGCACAGGTTGTTGTGCCGGCCATCTTGGTTGCCATGGCCCTGCTCAATGTCATAGACCTGGAGGCACCGGCGGACGACACGCCGCTGACTCTGCTGCCGTCGGTGTTCACCGAGGACAAGTTCACGCCGACCAGGGCTCAGAACAGCAGCTCAGCCATCGCTGTCAGAGCTGCTCTCTCACTGGATGTGAGTGGGTTTTTTTTGTTTTAATTTTATTTTGACCGTATTTCCCTGATTGTAAGTCGCATCCCCATTTTCAGGTCCATGTTTCATCATTTCAAGATATTCACTTCAGTAGTAATTCATGCTCGATTGTCAGCCGCACCCCTTTTGTTGGCCCCGAAGTTTAGTGTAAAAATGTGCGACTTATATTCGGGGAAATCCGGTACTGAAGACACCACCTAATCATAAGTAGAGAGGAGAGAAGTAGCAGGACAACACTGTCACAACAATGGGAGCAGTATGGGCTCCAAGAAGGAACCTGTGCTGGTGAGGCAAGCCAACAACGCCGACCTGTCGTCTCGGCGTTACCGCGAGCTTGCGCACCATGAGAGTTTATAGGGAGAGGAGAGAAGTCATGGTCACCTTGTGGTGATGACCTGGTGATGAGAGAATGTGTTGTTTTGATGTTGTGCAAGCCAGCTTAGGATGCGTTTGATTGGGTAATCCGGATTCGGATCGAATTCACTGGAGCAATCCAAACAGCTGTTCCCAATTGATGTGTGTCTGTCTGTCTGTCTGTCTGTCTGTCTGTCTGTCTGTATCTGTGCCTGTGTGTCCGCGTGTTTATTCTTATGCAGCATCCATGCGGGCTATCCACGGAGCACTTCTGGCAGGGCGGCTCGTTCAACACATCTCACAGCTGTTACGACTACAGTGCGTCGAGTGTGGACGGTGTGAGCCCGCTGTTGACCCAGGACGACATAGACAACAACAACACGTATATAGCCTACAAAGGAGCAGACGCAAGCGATATTGCCTACACAAACACCGGTGTATTTACACCCAGCTATTACGGCAGACCTATTGTGTAAGTGTCCTTGACGAGTGCTTCAGGGGGCAGTTTTCTATGCTGGATCTTGAAGATGTTCGAGGTGTGGGACGGCTGGTGACATTTCACCCCCTATGAAATTGATGAATGGTTGGTTGGGTTGAGAAACGAAAGAACGCGGATGGTGCGATCGTTCAACGGAAACTTGTCAAGCATCTTCTTGACGCAGCCTCACGATGTCGTACAGTTTATGCTCTACACTGGGATTCTGGGCACCTTCCGCCTCAATCAGTGCCAACCTTGCCTGGGTGCCGATACCGAGCTCTAAATCGGCGAGCTGATTGCTGCGATTTGCGTATTCAATATTCGGCATATCTTCACTTCGGCAACCTTGGATGATGCACGCATCCGCAAAGTGGCAAGAAAAGACCGCAGTAGAGAGACGAGGTCTGCCTGCATAGTACCGACCCGGCTAGCGTTGGTCTGGAACAAAGTTGTGAACTTGTCCACTGGCTCCAGAGCAAAGAGGACGAACTGACACACAAGCCTACTAAGCGGTGAATCCATCAGCTTGATCACACGCTTGAGCCTGTCGTTTCGGGGCTCAATATCCCGCTGCTGATCGAAGAATGCAGATAGAGCATCCCATTGGTCCAGGAGGCGCTTGAGGCAACGCTTCATGCTCAGCCAGCGGGTTGTTGAGTGTTTCAGGACAAGAACTGGCTGTAGCTCACCGAGATCCCGCTGAATATCAGCACACATCTCCCACTGCTTAGCTGAGTGTTTGAAGTAGTAAAACACGTCAATCAGCAGGTCGCTCGCTGGCACTGGGAGACGCTTGAGGGCAGCAGCAGCACAGAGGTTGGCCAGATGGCAAACACAACCCAGGCTGAACACATTTGGAGCAACCTCCTTGACACGACTTAATACCGAACTGCGTCTTCCCACCATCACACTAGCACTGTCGCTGCCAAAGCCAACCAAGTTCGCTCACGGTATGGCATGGCACTGCAGCTCCTTGTGAATTGCCTGGAACAGGGACTTTTCAGTGGTGATATTACAGACAGGCATGGACAGAAATCGGGTGACGACTTGCTCATAAGCATCATCCCAGTAATGGACCATGATTCCACAGTACTTCCTGTCCATTTTGTCATTGTCACTATCACACAGGATTGTGAACGGAGAGGTTCGACAGGCAGAAAAGACTACATCGCTGAGCTTCGGAGCCATGGCGTTGTTAATAATTGCAGCCATTTCTGTACAACTGCAATCAAATGATGCAGCAATCTTGCTATCAGGAAACATCACCTTGATGAGCTCGCTGAAGTGCTCGGCAGAGATCTAAACGATAGATTGTGCTCCGCCACGAACTTCACGAAATACGCCTCCGCCGTCACCGTTTTTTCCGGCAGTGTCGTCTTCTCATGGCCCGCCGACATTGCCCGGGAAATTCCAGGCTGGGTGGCCACATCTCGCAGTGCCTTAGAATGCTTGTAGGTGTCTATGTGACTCTGAACACCACCACCAGAAATGTTTACATCCACTTGGCACACAGTGCTGCAAAAGATGAAGTTTGGACCCTTTCTGCTTTCCTTCATACGGAACTTCGTCCATGATAGCTGCCACTTACTGGCAACCTTTTTCTTGTCCGAAATCGTTTCCATAGTTACTGACAGCTTTTAAAATAAACATTCAACATACTACATCTACTTGTCAGCAAACGACAACAGTTGAACAGACTTGGACTGGAGAAGGCAGTGACAAGTAACTACCGCCAAAGATGTAGTTGGCGCCACTAGCGCTATCTTTTAAAGTGCTATTTTGTCAATGCTGTGACCGCCAAAGTGCTGGCTATAAGGACATACTTGCTACCTTGTTAATCACCATTGTATTCGACTTGAAGAGTAATGGTACGAAAGGCCTAGTTGAAGCTTTATGGCTTCTGTTAACAAGTAACTACCGCGAAAAATCAGTTAGTGGAGAGGTCAAGAGGCCGCCTGGTCAACTGTTGTGCTTTGTTGGAAATAGATCAACAGTACGCGGAGTTTCTAGTACTACAAGTACAGTCAGTCAGGTCTACCCTGTTACCTACTGCATGACCTAATGCGAGAGCCGTTTACAGGGCCAGCATGCTAGTCAAGTATTGTAGAGTCACACGTAGTAGATCTACTACCGTACGTCGCGTACGGGAACAACCGCCCGCACCACTTTTTTTTCTTTAAGAAAAAAATGGGGCTTTCGTGGTCAATCCCTGGACTTCGACAAAATGTCCATTTTCCGGGAGTTTGCATGAAATCTCCCGAGGAGATTGGTTGATTTCCCAGTATTTTCCCAGGAAATCGGGGCAGGGTTGGTCAGTATGGCGCCGCCGTGCGTGGGTGTGAGTGAAACAGGCATACTTGCGTGATCTTTGCAAGCACCCTGGCTGATGTCGTGCTGATGTCATGCTGATGTCATGCTGATGTCATACCGATACCATACTGATGTGAGTTCTCTATTGTTCGTGTCTCTTTCTGTGCTGGCCATCGCTACAGGTTTACACGGCATGAGTTTGAGGAAGGCTTCAACTTGTCGAATCCGGACGACTGTATCGACTGCCGCTGGTACCCTTGGCTGTGTGAGCATGTTCCCGACACGCTGGGCCGTACGACTGTCGTTGGGGACAGCGTCCTGGAAAGTCTGGATCGTCAGAGCATCAACTTGGAGAACTGGATTCTGAAAACAAACTCGCACTACGTCCTGAAGCGGTATGTTTAGTTCCCTTATGTTTTCACGATAGATCACAGGAATGTGCAGGTGTGAACTGTCGATATTCACCAAGCCACAACTTGGACAAGGAAATCGTACACTACAACGTGTCTGCTCTAGGATTTCAAACCAACCGGGTACACGTGTACCTTTTCTCTACTATAGACTGTTTGGTGTAGGGTTGAAACGTGCCATCATATACCCTACATTCTGTCGCCAGTGGACGCTAATGCATAAGCTCGGGCCTGGGTTTTTTTTCCTCTCTCTCTCTCTCTCTCTCTCTCTCTCTCTCTCTCTCTCTCTCTCTCTCTCTCTCTCTCTCTCTCTCTCTCTCTCTCTCTCTCTCTCTCTCTCTCTCTCTCTCTCTCTCTCTCTCTCTCTCTCTCTCTCTCTGCCTCTCTTGCCTTGTTGTCTGGGTTGGCTGTGTGTATAGGTGGGGTGCGGTGTCGTTCGGATCGCAAGTCTTGACCGTTGTCGATAGTCGTACTCGCTACAGGTTTGTCAACGCTCTGGCGCGGAAGCCCGCCAACCTGGTACGTCATTCATATCACTCATACACAAGTCACAACACACAGTCTCTCGGTAATGTTCGTTCCGTATTTTCCGGAATATAAGCCGCACTGGAGTATAAGCCACACCAGATTTTTGTCACGAAATACACACATCTACCCTATTTATCACCGTTAGTTTGATCATGGGAGTATAAGACTATTTTCAGGTGAATTACTGGTGTTTTAAAGTTTCGGCTTATACTCCGAAGAATACGGTACTTCTGTGGGAGATGGTTGCCTGCAAGTCTAGTTTAATGCTAGGCATGCTCCTATGGCTGGATAAAAAGAGATTCTTCACGAGGTATTTTCATAAAATCAACCTCCGATGCCCCAGAATAGCTGCAGCCGCTTTGAGGTTCTTGGCAATATTGAGATGAAATTGATTTGAAACACTTCTTGACTGATCTGTGCGGACTTTAAGAGGACACCCCTAGTAAAGTAATTAAATTATCGTGTCCGTTCCCGAAGGGAACACACCCCTAGTAGACTGATATAATCTTTCTTGGGCTGACTTCAAAGTAGAATATTGTAAGACCACTTTTAGAAAGACTGGGATGTTGACCCAATAGTATTCATGTAAAGTAGGTGTGAAACGATTATACCGAATACTCGAAATAGAAATCGTTACAAGCTAACCGATCGATTATTCGAAGAGTTTCGATTACTCGATTATTCATACAGCATACATGATTATACACGTATGATTGTAGGTTGAAAATTCTCTTCTCCACAGGATCAATTTTAAAATTCTAAATTTTGAAGTTAATTATCGCATTTTTCAGCTTGTTATACGGCTTTTATCTGTCGAAGAAGTAATCGAAAAATAACCGATAACCGATCGATAAAGGTTTCGGTTATTCAATAGTCAAAAAGTGTAATCGTTCACCCCTAATGTAAAGAGAAAGGACCAATAAGTTTTGAGTTTGTTAGAGATGATCTCGTTAGTTGGTTGGTTGGTTGGTTGGTTGGTTGGTTGGTTGGTTGGTTGGTTGGTTGGTTGGTTGGTTAGTTAGTTAGTCGTAACTCGTAACGTATTGATCCTTTTCTCTTTACCACTTTTAGTAACGTACTTTTAATTAAATTATCACACGAAGAGACGAAGCCAGTTGTGAAACTGATGAGGCCTTTTGTACCATTACTTCTAAAATCAGTGCATGGTGATGATGTGATGCAGCACAATGATGTCACTTTATACAGCATATTGGCGGTGAAATGGTGATGAAATGTACACAGGTTGGATGATGAAAAGTATTGGTACGAAAGGCCTCATCAAGTTCACAACTGGCTTCGTCTCTTCGTGTGCTAATCTGTTTCCCTCCAACTAAATTTTGATCATTCAAATTATTTATACAAAAGAGAAAGACCAAGGAACTGCAAGTTACGCTATACTGTCCACTAACACCACCAGTTACTAAACAATCAGTTAGTTGTAGAACGTCAGTACCGTCGGTCAGTGTCGTGCAATGTTATCGCGTGAGCTGATTGTTTAGTAACTGGTGGTGTTAGTGGACAGATAGCGTAACTTGTAGTTCCTTGGTCTTTTTCTTTTGTATAAATTGAAATTATTCGTTTTCATTTTATTATCGTTTGCCAATAGTGAATTCAAAATTTAAAAAATTTGAATTCATTATTGCCTGATGATTGCCTGATGATCGTAGTAATACGTGAAACTCAGAGTTGTGACAAAGCTTCCAATCTCTCTTGTGAATTCATTATCAGCAAAACGATGTACACGTATTTCGAATGTACTAGCGCTACTGTTTTTACCGGTTATAATTCAACCCCCACTTGATTTACTTGTACAGGTTTAAGATCAGTACGAAATAGTGGTTGCGAGTGCGAGCTCCAGTGTAGGGAGCTAACCGGTTCAAGATCAATATGAACAATGGCGGGGAAGCCCGGTTGTAAGTCGACTGCCCCTATTTTTTTATTTCGGCTTTTAGGGGCGGGCCGGGGTTACCGATTGTTTTTACGAAACGAAAATTTTTAGTATTTTTCAGCCCCCACCCACCCACCCACCGTTTCTGCAGGTAAAACGAACTCCAATAAAATATTGATGTCAATTTTTGACACCCAGAAGTAACTGGGCATTCTCCATCTGCATTCAATAATTATTTTCAAAACGAAACTCCATCGAACCCACTCACCCCCAAACGAAAACTTTTCGTTTTGAAAATATTATTGGTAACCTTGGACAGCCCCTTAGGCCATACAGGTCGACTTATAACCGGGAAAAAACTGTAGTCGTTAAAACATCCAGAGTATGTTAAAATTTCACGTCACTTTCCAACCACGCACATAATTCATGCTTGCTGTTGAATGTCCTTACACAGTCCTAACAGAAAAACCTTAAAGTAAGGAACTATTATTGTTTTAGACTCGGCTGGAGAGCCAAGGATTAATTTATAAGAAGAGAAGAGGACTAAAGAGCTACAAGTTACGCTATATTATCCACTAACGCCGCCGGTGGATAATATAGCGTAACTTGTACCTCTTTGGTCCTCTTCTCTTCTTATAAATTAGTGTTCTGCTATGCTTCAATACTGTATAGCAAGATTGGTCTTCTCCTGCACAATGGTGGCGAATCCATCCAGGAATCGCTGCTGGGTAGATGGCCTTGCAGCCCCCCCCCCCCCCCCCCCCCCCCCTGGCTCGTCCAGCAATCCTGTAGGGCGGAGTAGCTGGCAGCTATGTGCTGCATTGCCTTCAGCAGCAGCAACCTGGGCAGGTGATGATGCTCCATCAATGATGGGCAAGTTGCCGCCTACAGGTAGCTCATCGTCTGAGTCATCGTCAGAAATATCAGGGTCAATAACAGCAGCGCCGGGGCCCTCCACAGCAGCTTCACGCGCAACAGCAACAGCGGGAGCCAGCACATCAGTGGCATGGGCACGGCTAGCAGCAACGGCGACACCAACACGAGTGATGGGCGCGACAGCGACATTTTCATCAGGCTCATCTTCGCCTTCATCGCCGCTTCCTGCAGTATCCGATCCACAGACCACTGCCATAGTTGGGTGATCTTTGAATAGACCATAGTAGACACTGAGTAAGGCCCATTTTGCTTTCCTCAGTAGATCATCCCAGTCCAGCCCATCATCATGCGTTTGTCTCATCATCAAGTGCGGTGCCAGTCTAGTCTTTCTTCCTCAGAACGGGCATAACGAACTCCTTCATTTTCTTGTTGCCGGTTTTCTTGAGCCCAGCCAATTTATCCTTTACTTGTTTCCAAGAAGCATCAATGTTCTCCTTCTCCAATTTTTCTGCTATCCACCGCTACTTGTCGGTTTCTTTTTTCATCTCTTCCCCGTATCTAGTTTTCGCCTCAACATACATCACCAGCAGCATTTCCTCACTTTCTGTTGTCCTCTTCATGTCAGCAACAAACAAAACACACAGGGGATGGGGACTACAAACGTCTTTCATCAGCTCAAACAAACAGAGGAGTGAATCAAGAATACACAAAGGAAACATCTATGCCAGGACTAGTCATCCTGGCGTAGCGGCACGTGGCAACCCGAAGCAAATTCTCAACAAGGAAAGCAGTTCCCATAGTTGTCGATACAATTGCAAGGGAGCCCTACAAATATACACGGATACGGATGTGCGTAGGGCTCCCGCCAGGTACGCATACAAACAGGACCCTTATTTGGCCACAGGAAGAAGCGTGAGTTCCGCAGAAGCGGCTGTCTTGCTTCGACTTTGGAGGCAGCGGATTTGAGTTTCCCCCCGAAGCGGAAGTGTCGCTTTTCGCAGTTGTAATGGTAATCTTTGCTCCTGTGGTGCCGCTTCAGCGGAACCGCTACTTTGAGTGTATGTGTGACCAGGCCCTTAGAATGAGGAAGCCCGACCTTTTATTGACTGTCTGTCTCCCCTCTCTCTCTCTCTCTCTCTCTCTCTCTCTCTCTCTCTCTCTCTCTTTCTCTCTCTCTCTCTCTCTTTCTCTCTCTCTCTCTCTCTCTCTCTCTCTCTCTCTCTCTCTCTCTCTCTCTCTCTCTCTCTCTCTCTCTCTCTCTCTCTATCCCTCTGTATCTCTCTCTATCTCTCTCTATCTATCTCTCCCTTTCTTTCTCTCTCTCTCTCTCTCTCTCTCTCTCTCTCTCTCTCTCTCTCTCTCTCTCTCTCTCTCTCTCCCTGTGTACATATGTGTGCGTGTGTGTGTGTGTGTGTAGGGTTGGAATAATCTGGATGGCTATCACGCAGCACCTATCTACATGAATGTACTGACCAACTCTCTGCTACGTGCTGGACTGAACAACACTCAAGACCCTGTCTCGTTTGGTTAGTCTACTACACATTCTGTATATAGTGTACTACACATTCTGTACTGTGTACTGCATGTAGTCACCCATCAGATTCCCTCCACCATACACTGTAGAGCAACACATGTTGTGACAACGTGACAACACATGTATGTGTGTGTGGCGTATCATCGTACGCAGGCACTTGAACGTGTATAAGCAAGCGTGGATAAGCTTGACATGTGGGATTACCCTTGCTCTTGCCAACAACCTTGCTTTGCCATGTCGTGCTTTTAAAAGAGAGGGAGAGAGGGAGAGTGTGTGTGTGTGTGTTTGTGTGTGTGTGTGTGTGTTCTGTAAACTGTGTGTCCTCGCGCATGTGTGTGTGTCTGCGTGTCTGCGTGTGCACATGGTGTATATGTGGGTGGGTGTCCGTTAGGTGTCACTACAATCAATCACCCGTTTGCCAAAACGGTTCTTCAGCTGAACACGGAGTACACGTGAGTACATGAGAATTATTTCTGTTGTTGGATGTATTCTGGCTGGCTGCCTGCCTGCGTGGTTGGCTGCCTGGTTGGCTGGTTGGTGTGCTGGCTGTGTACATGATGCTGGACAGGCGAATGTGATGGGTTTGAGTGTGTATTACATGCAGACACGCACACATGGTGTTTATGTATGAGATCTGCTTTGCTCTTCTGGCGCAATACTACAATCATGATTGTATTGTTTAAGATCAACGGTGAGTGGTAATCATTTGCTGTAGACTCTTCCATTCTGGCATGTCCAGAGCAACAAACTATACTGCACTTAAAACTCTCTTCATATCACCCGGTATGTTCTGAGCAACAGACTGTACGCCAAACACGGTTTCATAGCGTACTATGAATCATGGTTGTGACATGCTGTGTGGAATACTTGGCTATATTATGTTCACAGGCAATCCGGTATCCAGCTCATCAACGCCATATTTGTCATTCTGGCCCTGTCATTTGTGCCCGCATCGTTTGTCCTGTATCTGATCGGTGAGCGTGCCAGCGGTAGCAAGCACTTGCAGCGTATGACCGGTGTCAGCGGCCTCACATACTGGACGTCTACGTTCATCTGGGATATGGTATGGCAAGCCATTACACACACACACACACACACACACACACACACACACACACACACACACACACACACACACACACACACACACACACACACACACACACACACACACACACACACACACACACACACACACACACACACACACACACGCGCGCCATTGTTCATTCTTCATGTGGGGTATGGTGTGGCAAGTCATGTGGAAAATCCACACACTCCATTGTTCTTTCTGCATGTGGGGTATGGTGTGGCAAAGTCCACAGACTCCGCACACACTCCATTGTTTATTCTGCATGTGGGGTATGGTGTGGCAAAGTCCACATGTACACACACACTCCATTGTTTATTCAGATTATTCTGCATGTGGGGTGACATGTGCAATCTAGAAGCCCAATGCAGACTTACAGCTACATGTACGCCGAGCTGGAATCATGTGCTGTGCAGCATGCGCCCTTTGTTGCATGTTGTAAAGCCGGAACACGACCTTCTACTTGGCTCCTATTCATGTTTCTTCCAACACGGCCGAAGTATTCAGACCTGGAGCATGTCAAGTGCGGGCAGCATTGAGAAAGAGTAGATGACAGATGTACAGTCGACTCCTGATAATATTATAACGAACACCATTGTGTAGGAATTAGTTCTTTATAGCCGAAGTTTGTTATAACAGAAATAAAATGCCCTCACACTATACAAGCAGCAAGTCATGACTGGCAAGTGGCCCATGACAGTATGAGTGCACTTGGTTTACATGCGGCCCTGCGAGGTTTGGTTCGTCGTAAACGAAACCTGTTTATTATATTAAAAGGGTCAATGGCACGTATTCACTGAAGGCGCACGTGACTAGCACTGCGGGGAAACAAGTAGGTTTTCTCATTTGCGTACATAGTAAATTCGCACTTTACTCTTGACTTGTTGAGCCGTCTCGAACGTTGTATTCCGCAAATTCCACTTAGTTGGGTCACTACTATTGTATACCTTGAAGACCAGTAGTCTACATCGAAAGAAACTCACAAGTTCCAGCGATTAGAGAAACTTCTTTTCCACGCATTTGTATACATTTGTATGCGGAATCGAACAAGTGTCCCCACAGCGTGGCTCACGTGCGCCCATACCTTGTATGCAGCGTGGGCGTCCGCCATTTTAGATGAATACGTGCCATTGTGTACGTGTTCAAACAGGGACATGGACAAGGGTTCGCTATATCACGAAATTCGCTATATGCGAGGTCATTACAAGTGGAGTCGACTGTACGAGGTCATTTGCTATTTTTGGACACTCAAATTAAATAGCACCCTATTATGTTGGTTTGTAAAATAAATAAATTTTTTTCTTGCTTTTGTATTGGCACACTTATGCTTTACCACTACCACACACACCTGAAGGCCTAGAGGTGAAGCGCGCGGCCACAACTTGACCTGATCGAAGGCGTCTTTTTTTACTACTTTCGCAATGCGAGCAATTATTGGACAACTAAATTAAATAGCATCTAGCAGCAGTCTGCAATGGTGTGGACAAGTAAAACTTGCACAGGACATGAAAGTGGGGTAAGGCTATGCCTATGAGACCGGCTGATATGAGTTCTAATGACAGGCCGTTCATAGCAAGCTTTTCAAGGCCTTTCAATGTGACACACAATTAAAAGGGTCGCTCAAGGGCATGGACGTCATATTCAAGAACAGAGGAGAGCACTCCAGTGTGGCGCATCTCCTTCTCATATTTCGCAAAGAGTGGAGGGCTAACGCCTTAACTAGCCGCTGCGTCCTTCTTTGTTAGGAAGTGTTCACTGGTGCCAGGTGAGTGGAACGCTCACACTGCTAAAAGAGATTTCTCCTGACCAGAACTCCTCCACAAACGCACGGGCTGAGAAGACGAGGAGACTCTTCCAGGCGGATTCGAGGTGGAAGACGTAGTCTCTGGGGTTGATGGAAGGGATACAACATCCCCCATGTCGACATTCTCTCCGTCATGTGACGTAGAGTTGACGGAATCCTCCATTATTTACTATTTAATCGAAATTTTCAAAATTACTCAATACATTACCTAAGAATAGTAAAGAAAACTCCCAGAAAGAAACGCCTTTCGCCGCTGAAAATAGGAAGGAAGAAACTTGAGGACCACACGAAGACACTCTTGTCAAAGATTTGTCCACCAAGGAAAGGACAACGACTCAGGAGGACTCTACTTCCATATTTAACTGATTTGTCCAAAAATTGCGACATGTCCAAAAATTGCGAATCACCTCGTATTACTACCTACTGAGTACCATTGCTGTGCACCATCTGCGCTATCCTTGACTACAGAGTTATCGTGTTGTTCAATTTGCCCTTCTTCTCTCAGCAAATATAGTATACTTATCCATGTCATACTGTCTTCCATGTGTATGTTCATGCAGGTCAATTACCTCGTTACGGTGATGACGCTGCTCATTGTCTTTGCCATATTTGGTAGTGGCGTGTACACGTCAGCCGAGAACTTCCCGGCGACCATTGCACTCCTGCTTCTTTACGGGTGAGTGGCTTATATGTGGTGGGTGCATGTTTGTGCTTGTACTTGTGTGTGTGTGCGTGTGCGTGCGTGTGTGCGTGTGTGGAGAGGGGGGGGGGGCATACGTGTAATTTGTTTGGTCCTGTTTCAGTTTACGATTAATTGTGGCAGCGCGGTTGTACTCTGCCAGTCCTGAAATCCAAGAAGATGAATGACTGGTGTAGATAGATCATGGTGCGGTGTTTCCAGTCACGTCACTACTACATGAACATGTACTGTAAAAGCAGAAATCTTGGTTGGTGTAATATTTTCGGTATTCTCCAAGATCGGCGGTTCGGTGGAGGGAAATTTTCGGTAAACCCGTTTTCCAAGTAAGTGTACCAGTACTAGTACCGAAATTTTCGAATTTTCGGTGCTTTATTTTCGGTAAAAATTTCGGCACCAAAAGTTACCGAAAATAAAACACCACCGACAATTTCTGCTTTTACAGTCCATGCACATGGTTATTTGTGTAGTGTAGTGTAGTGGATGTATGCTGAATACCGGTACTAGTAAATATAAGCTAAATGTATTTTTCCCCTTCCTCCCTTGTTGTTGTTTTGTTTTCAGGTGGTCGATCACACCGTTGATGTATCCGTTCTCGTTCTACTTTGAGGTGCCGTCCACAGCTTACGTCATCCTGCTCTGTGGGAATGTGGCCATTGGTGCTTTTGGCACCATTGCTACTTTCTTTCTGCAACTCTTTCCTGGCAGTGAGGTGTGTGGGGGGGGGGGGGGGGTGCGCACGCATGTGTACATCAATGATCTTTTTGTAAAAGGTTATTTGGCCCTGGGTGATTTGACCCTGGGGGGGGGGGGGGGGTATTCTGTTTGATTCCTGTTGGGACCTGGCAAGGTCAAGGCAAGGGCAAGGGCTTAGCTTTCAGGAGATTGAGCAGTTTGATCCTCTGATGGATTAGTCGGTACTTTTTTCTTAAGGGTCCTTTGAAGGTGATGGCATTCCTACGGATGCGGAAAGATCAGTCTAGCTTAGGAGAACGCGAACTGTGAATTGTTTTCTTCTCAAGGACAACACAAGGACATAGATTTAGTCACATTGTGTGCACACACCGCACTGTGATGTACATGTTGTTCGTCTTGTGATATCTGTTCTGGTGAATGGCTTGTCCAGACTCTGACAGTGGTGAACGATCACCTGCGCGTCATTCTGCTGATCTTTCCGAACTTCTGTGTCGGCCGCGGCATGATGGATCTGGCCTACCTGCACTACGGACGTCTGGTTGGCAAAGAACTGGGCGGTAAGTACGTGTTCTCTCTTGTGTGTGTGTCTGTGTGTCTGTGCGTCTGTGTCTGTGTGTGTGTCTGTGTGTGTGTGTGTGTGTGTGTGTGTGTGTGTGTGTGTGTGTGTGTGTGTGTGTGTGTGTGTGTGTGTGTGTGTGTGTGTGTGTGTGTGTGTGTGTGTGTGTGTGTGTGTGTGTGTGTGTGTGTGTGTGTGTGTGTGTGTGTGTGTGCTTATATGTTTGCTATAATTATGAGTGCACATGTGCGAATGTGGGCTCTGATAATGCTCTGTGATTCTCCGGCTGCGTCTTCGTCCACGAGTTGCACTGATGTGCACAAAGCAGAGGCACACACATATTCTCTTTGAGCCTAATAGCAAACATGTATAGTATGTGCGGTGTCTTGACTGCCTTGACCGCTTCATACACTCACTGTTCGATTGTCCCACTATTCGCTTGTTGCATGCCACGCACTTGTCATCTTGCTCGTCTGTTGCAACTGTTGTCGACTTCTCGCCACACTGTGTTAGCACTGCCACTCATGTCTCATGTCCACCGGCTTGTTTATCTCATCACCATGCTCTCTATGCTCTCGTTCTCATGTCTTCTGATTCCTGATCCAATTTTGTCTTGTTCTTTGTTTCCATGCCACATTGCCTGCACAGCGAGTTGGTACACGGTACGGCCGTCGATAGGGCTGGGCGCCGACCAGGTCGGGCGCAATCTCCTCTCCATGGCCGTGTCTGGTGTGTTCTTCTTCGCTCTGACCCTGGCCATTGAGTATGGTGTGTTTGGCAAGGTCAGGCACTGGCTTTACGCCACGTACCGGTGAGTGATGTCAGAAACGGGAGCACATCCTGTGAAGGCACTACGCCCTGCTTTCCAGCAACAATTCATGGTTGGCATGAGACTCACTCAAACTGATCTTTCTGCGCTTGTAGGAACCCCACCAGTCTTGATGTTTTCCTGCAGCAAGGACCAGGCTTGTGTACTGCTGCTGGACTGTTTCTGAAAATACCAGTAATAGAGGCACACCGGTACATGATGTGCGTCGCTGCCGGGTGTAAACCTATTTCTTTGATCCACGCACGTGATTGTAACTAGACCTGCCTGTTTGTGAACACTAAAATATTCGTACCCAAAAACCTTCATGCTCTGAGCCTCCAGAAACATTATAAGCATAACGCGTAAGCGTGAAACGAGTCGCAGCAATAACGCTTTGTTCCACGTTCTAAAGCATTTAAAAGTGTTCGTATGAGCCACATGGGTCTGTGTGCCGCTGGTGATTTCAGGCGCATGATAAGCCAGCTTACGAATTATTCAAAGTTGAAATGCATGAGAGCGTTTCTGCGTTTACACTTTACACTATGTACAGTCAACCTTGCTATTAGCGACCGTCGATTGTGCATGAGAAAAAGTGTCGTTATCTGCGAGTTGTCGTTATCCGCCGGGCTGAAAGTATGCAGCCATATGGTTACTACAGTCCATTCATTGGAAACTGGCACCCTAACTTTTTGGTGTCTCCCGCACATATGTAGTTGTAGATATCATGAAAACAACAGTACATCCTGCATTGTGTTACCCGTGCAATTACTCCTTGCCACATTTGAGACCTGAAAGTCCAAGAACAGGGAAACAGAAATCCAGCCAGGTTTTACAAAATTAGGACAGGTATGCCATGGGAAAATGTATGGAGAAGCAGATCCCAAACCCAGATTTTCGAGATTTTAAGTGGGTTTTTGATCCTCAATTCGGCCCAAATTGGACTTTCAAAAGCCAGCGGGACTATTTCCGATGAATGGACTGTAGGTTTTAAGATTTTGTCGTTGTTCGTGAATTGTTGTTACACCGGAAGTTGTTACTCACAAGGTTGACTGTAGTCTGATCTTTCTCTTCATTCTCCCATTTGCAGATCAATCAAATCACACAGTGCCAGCAGCAGCAGTAGCAGCAGCCACACACCCAGCATGTCATCTCTTAGCCTGCTGTCCGGTCTTGGTGGCCGTAGCTCGGTCAACACATCACTATACAGGGGGCTGTACGATGATGACGGCGACGACGATGATGATGACAATGTCAATGAGGGCAATGGTCAGAGCTCGGTGGGAGGTTCTCAAGACAGTGTCCTGGATAAAGATGTGGCGGAGGAGAGGCAGCGGGTCTTGTCGGGGAACTGTGAAAATAGCCTGCTTTTGCTGAAGAATTTAACCAAGGTACGCTGGCACTACTAGTATAATATGCCGCATCTCTTGATAATAATGATAATCTCACCTATTTAAACCAACGTTGAACGTGCACACCGAGTTCTAGTATGCCCTGTACTCCTGACAGCAATGCCAGCAGGTCTTGCTCCGTGTCAACATGCAATGATGCAGGATATGCTGAACAGTACAGTACTATACTGGTGACGCTGGCGTGTGTGATGATGGTATGCATTGCTGCTACTATGACATCGTAGTGATCGTACCAATTGTGGTAGAGTAATGATGCAATGCTATGATGTAATGCTATGATGTACAAGTAATGCACTGCTGCTCTGTATGTGCAGTAATGATGTCTGGGCAATGAAGCAATGTGAGAATGTATTGTGAGAATGGTACACACCGATTCAAGATTGGACTCGGATGGAGAGCCAAGCATAAATTATCGCGCAATGTTATCGCATGAGCTGATTGTTTAGTAACTGGTGGTGTTAGTGGACATTAGCGCAACTTGTGGTTCCTGGGTTTCTTTTCTATACATTCAAGGTCACTTTTGCTTTTCTATGCGTCGGGTTAAATTTTAACTCTATTTGTGTTTGCATGCCCGTGTGCATGTGCGTGTATGCGCGTGTGTTGGTTTTTTGTGTGTGCATGTGCGTGTATACATGCTTGCTTGTGTATGCATGCTTGCTTGTTTATGCATGCAAGGTGTGTATGCATGCTTGTGTGTGTGTGCATGCGTGTGTGTGTGTGCATGCGTGTGTGTGCATGCTTGTGTGTGTGCATGCTTGGGTGTGCATGCTTGGGTGTGCATGCTTGTGTACTCTTTCTGCAGATGTATGGCGAGCAGCGTGCCGTCAATGAGATGTGTCTTGGTGTGGAGCCTGGCATGGTATGTACTTGTGTGTACTTGTGTGTAGCAACTAGGTTTCCTACAGTCTGCTATTGCAAACTGCACGATGTGTAGCAGAGGATGAATGACAAGGGTTCATTCTATGAGTTAGCGCCTCTCGCGTCCTCTCCCGTTCTGTATGTGTCTCTTGCTCCCCTCTCATTCTCTGTGTGTGTGTGTGTGTCTCTCTATCTCTCTCTCTCTATCTCTCTCTCTCTCTCTCTCTCTCTCTCTCTCTCTCTCTCTTCTTTGCACTTGCACAATGGGCTAAAAGTATTCTAGTGTGAAATCCGTGGTGGCAACAATATTGCTCCACAATGCATGTATTGTCTTATACTTTTGAATAGTTCAGATGTTTGAGGTGGTTGTAAAGAGAAACTTGGGATGTTTGCAAGAATGTGTGTTGTGCCTGTTGTGTTCTCATCGTGCGTGCAGTGTTTTGGCCTGCTTGGTGTGAATGGTGCTGGTAAGACATCTACATTCAAGATGCTGACTGGTGAAGTGGATATCACGTCTGGGGAAGCATTCCTCGGCGGACTAAGGTGGGTCAGACTTGTCTGTAAGACATTTTCACAAGCAATTTTGCACATTACCGGTTGCTTCATACTTTGTCTATGATAACATCATGCAAAGAATGCTGTCGAATTATGGCATTGCTGTAACAACATCATGCTGCTTCTATGGTTACATCATGGCATTACTGTGTGGCATTCAGTCAATGACAGTCATTCATGCAGTTACTACTATGATGACATCACCATGACATCATACTTGGCTAGATGACCTCATGCTGGTGCCCAATTTGACTGCAATGAGCTGATTATGTTACCTGTGTGTTGTTTGACAGTGTGGTGCACGACACCATGGCTGTACGTCGCTTGACCGGCTACTGTCCGCAGTTTGATGCGCTGGATGAGCTGCTGACTGCCAGGGAACACCTTCACCTCTACGCTAGACTGCGTGGTGTTGACCAGGAGAAGTGTGCCGAGGTATGTATCACTTTACTGTACAGTACAGCTCAGGGAGTTCGGTTCCAAACCACGCGTCCCTGCAAATATGAGACCAACTGACCCGTGTTCTCCGGCACGTTTCTAGTGCACAGTGCATGTTAGTTCAGGCTTGTGTCTCTAGAGACAGCATGTCTTTGAATACCAACACTTCTACCTTCCCCTGAGTGTTCTGCCCAGCTGCTCATTACCTGTCCCTGGCCTGCTCATTGCCTGCTAAATACCTGCTTAATACCTGCCCCATACCTGCTCAATACCTGCTCGATACCTGCCCCATGACTGCTTAATACATGCTCAATACCTGCTCCATCATGCCTGCTCTATACTTGTTGGGAGCTTAAAGAAACACGAAGACGCAATCTCGCTCCACTAGGACAAACAGCTTGACGGCTTTTTGCTTGCTTTGTGATGTTTGTACTGTGTTTGTCGTCATCCTGTACAGACGGTGGACTGGACAATCAAGAACTTGCAACTGACGCGTTACGCCGATGAAGTTGTTGCCGGCTACAGCGGCGGGAACAAACGTAAACTGTCGACAGCCATTGCTCTGATCGGCCGGCCACCTGTCATTTTCCTGGTGAGCAGCTCATTTGCACATGTGTTTCTTCTCTGTTTGCTTCACGAATGTAGAGCTTTGTGTCTTTAGTGTCTTTGTGTCTCGCTGTCTTGCTGTCTTGCTGTCTTGCTGTCTTGCTGTCTTGCTGTCTCGCTGTCTCGCTGTCTTGCTGTCTTGCTGTCTCGCTGTCTTGCTGTCTTGCTGTCTTGCTGTCTCGCTGTCTTGCTGTCTTGCTGTCTTGCTGTCTCCACAAATGTAGAGCTGTGTGTCGTTGTGTCTTGGTGTCTCAATGTCTAGGCGTATCACTGTCTCGTTGTGTCACTGTCTTGCTGTCCGTAGTTAGTCGTGGGCAGTGCTTGGCAGTACTATAGCGGTGTCCAAGACAAACTACTCCAGTTTGCCTACCTACAGTGCTGCTCAATGGAATCTGATCGCGTGAGGCAAGTATGCCATGCCGGGCGCTGTGCAGCCCTAGACCTGCGACCACTGGGCATTGTGCAGCCTTAGACCCGTGAACACTGGGCGTTCTGCAGCCCTAAACCTGCCTACACTGGGAATGAGACCTGGAGCAGTGTGCAAACTTGACTGACTGGATCTGATCCTATTGAGCAAAAGTACTGTACATGTCTATGACTGAACACTAGTAGATGGTAAGGCAATACTGAAGGGGTAATCAGCCGTAGGTGAAATCCGTCAGCCCTTACATTCATGCACCTCGCTTGACCCAGTGTCTGATGCTCTGCATTTGATTCATGCTCAGGATGAACCAACCACCGGAATGGACGTTAAGGCACGCAGGTTTCTCTGGTCTGTCATTCAGGGATTGACACATGCTGGTCATTGTGTTATTCTGACCTCGCATAGGTAAGCTGCCCTGTGCTACCCTATGCTACCCTGTGCTACCCAATGCTACCCTGTGCTACCTTGTGCTACCCAATGCTACCCTAGGCTACCCAATGCTACCCTAGGCTACCCAATGCTACCCTATGCTACCCTGTGCTGCACTGTGAATGCCAAATGCCGCTGTTTGATGATCGCTGAAATGCGTGAAGTTACAGCTACGCGGCTTTTCGCCTCTGTTGTTTGTGGATACTGCTCTGCACATTTGTGCATTGAGCACTCTGCTTCGAGCTGCCTTGACTGGCCTTGTTTGTACACATGTTGTCATATGTACTCTTGTCTGTATGCATGTAGTCATCTTCTGAACCAGACTACAACACACTGTGCTATTGCTTTTGTTTTCTCTGTCACTCTTGCCGCCAGTATGGAGGAATGCGAAAGTCTGTGTCACCGTCTTGCCATCATGGTGAACGGAGAGCTACGATGCCTGGGCAGTCCCCAGCACTTGAAGTCAAGGTATACTGATGTGTGCCTGTGTGTGTGTGTGTTTACATGTGTACGTGTGTGTACGTGTGTGTACGTGTGTGTACGCGTATGTGCATGTGCCCCTAAATACCAAAGTCATTGACGGTTCTCAGCACACCGGCGTGAGGCCTCACCCAGTACAGTACTGTCGGGTAGCGCCGAAGAACGGCCAGGCTAGAATTTCACCATTTTCTTAGAACGGTCTAGACTGGAATTTTCCAGATAAGACCGGACACTGTAATGTACACTATAAGTCTATAAAATACACTCAGAGTCAGAAGTATAAGTCTGCAGGTTTGGATGGTGCATTTCCGTAGTTTCATAAGTCCAAACATATAAACTACCATGTGTGCCTATATGCGTCACCATGCAATAGTCATGTACTGGTGCATGCACATGTACATGTACATGCGTATGGTCCACATGTAAACTTAGCTACTACTGCTTTCGTACATACAATGACAAGTACGCGTATGACTGTATCATCGAATAAGAACGAAACTGCTGTGTTCGCGAAAAATAAGAACAGGCTAGGCGAGAACCCTGACCCCCCCCCCCCCCCCCCCCCCCAACCCTCCAACCCCCCCCCCCCCAACCCTCCAACCCCCCCCCCCCCCCCCCAACCCCCCCCCCCCCCCCCCCCAGTTCTTCGGCACCTGCCAGTGCTGTAAGGCTGCTCAGCCAGTTTGTGTTTCGCATTCTGTGACGCATTTTCTGATCTTCTCTGATGTTGCTCGGCAAAACGCAACAATTCCAGGAAAACAAATGCCGGTACATCCTGTATTGTGATTTCTCGGAATGGGTTCAAGGATGCACAGGTTCACGTTCACGTCAAGCGCACGCAAAACCAGCTACTTGTGTGACTACTGACTAGTCATCCTGAACACCATGCAGCTACACTACTTCACGTTCACGTCGTGTGTGCATTGTAACCTCTTTACTACTATCAACAACTGGTATGGTAGACACGTATAGAACTGTTACTCATGACTGCTATCCCTGGTGCTGTGTGTCTGCGTGTGTGTGTGTGCGTGTGTGTGTCTGCGTGTGTGTGTGTGTGTGTGTCTGTCTGTGTGTGTGTGTGTGTATGTCTGTGTGTCTGTGTGCGTGCGTGTGTGTGTCTGTGTGTCTGTCTGTGTGTCTGTGTGTGTGTGTCTGTTTGTGTGTCTGTCTGTGTGTCTGTGTGTCTGTGTACGGGTGTGTGTGTGTTGTGTCCGTGTGTGTGTGTTGTGTCCGTGTGTGTGTGTTGTGTCCGTGTGTGTGTGTGTGTGTGTGTGTGCGTTCGTGCGTGTGTGTGTGCGTGCATGTGTGCGTGTGTGTGTTGCTAGGTTTGGTGATGGCTACACGCTGACCATTCGTTTGAAGACGGATTGCGCTGATGGCGATGCTGCGGACTCCCGCGATCAAATCAAGGAGTTCTGTCGACATCGGCTGCGCAACATCGAGTTGCTGGTGAGCTATTGTGCATGCATGTGCCTGAGAGAGAAAGAGAGAGAGAGAGACAGAGAGAGAGACAGAGAGAGAGAGAGAGACAGAGAGAGACAGAGAGAGACAGAGAGAGACAGAGAGAGACAGAGAGAGACAGAGACAGAGAGAGACAGAGAGAGACAGAGAGAGACAGAGAGACAGAGAGACAGAGAGAAAGAGAGACAGAGAGAAAGAGAGACAGAGACAGAGAGAGACAGAGAGACAGCGAAAGAGAGAGACAGAGAGAAAGACACAGAGAGACAGAGAGACACAGAGAGACACAGAGAGACACAGACACAGAGGGACAGAGACACAGAGAGACAGAGACACAGAGAGAGACACACAGAGAGACACATAGAGAGAGACACAAGACAGAGAGACAGAGAGACAGAGAGAGAGAGACAGACAGACAGACAGACAGACAGACAGACAGACAGAGAGAGAGAGAGAGAGAGTAAGTTACATTTATAAAGACAGGTAAGTCTAACAAATGAGGACTGAGACCTCTACAACAGGGTTTTTACGCCTGAAAGCAGGTGCATGATTTAACAAGCAGGTTGTCAGTCTAGATTTTATGCGCAGATGGAGAAAAAGCGCAGAATTTTTGTAATGAGATGAAAAGCAGAAATAATAAGAAATAATAAGAAAAGATGAAATGAAAGCCTGCTCACAACCCCGCCCAGCCTTGCGAACTGGGTATGGTGGATTAAGAACCCGGTTCAACGCTCGAGCAAGCGCTCTCCACTCAAGGTGTTCACAGCAACTGATAGGAACTCATATGGGGAAATTATAGAAAAGAAATAATAAGATAAAGAGAATAAATTTCAACGCACCTCAATAAACGGAGCCCCACATACAGTACCTCAGAAAAGTGGATCTTCCGACCAGTGTTTTTGTTGACGCCGCAACCAGATGATGTAGCTGCTTCGCAGAGACGTCTTACTGCACAAATTACAAATAAATTTTATTCTTCGATTAGAAAATCCAAGCGCTTTCAGAGCCCTCCGAAGAGAGTCCGGGATGAAACCACGCACACCTACCTCAACCGAAAAAGAAACGACCTGCCACCCGTTCGCTCGGCATTGATCGGCCAGATCCGCATACCGCCTGTCCTTCCGCGAGTTACTGACACTGAATCTGTCCTCAGCACAAACTGTCAACTCCATCCAGAATACAATCCTATGACTCGTAGAGTACAGAACTATATCTGGTCTTAGGGTGGTAAGTGCAACACAGCTAGGGAAAGAAATCTTTGCACTAACTGAGTCGACAAGAAGTTTCCAGTCTGAGGCCGCTGACAGGAGATCAGTCGTAACCAACTTTCGTCTGGGCTGAACGCGAACTGGCTTCTCTCCCGCCTTGCAAAACGAGATGAAGTCAAGAGAGAGAGAGAGAGAGAGAGAGAGAGAGAGAGAGAGAGAGAGAGAGAGAGAGAGAGAGAGAGAGAGAGAGAGAGAGAGAGAGAGAGAGAGAGAGAGAGAGAGAGAGAGAGACATAGATAAAATAAGGCTCAGAGGAAAGGAGGATTGTCGAGTCTCTGATCACAACACATCTCTCGCTGTGTCTCTACTGACACTGTACTGTTCTCTGATCACATCACGTCTCTCTGTATCTCTGCTGTTCTCTGTTATCCATTGCTATTGTGTAGAATGAACAATGTAATCTTCTAGTGCACCAGGTGCCAGCTGACAGCGTTCAGTCCCTGTCAGAAGTATTTGCAATGCTGGAGAGTATGCGTTGTGACTATCCACTGATCCAAGACTATTCTCTCAGCCAGACATCACTGGACGAGGTGAGAACACTCGACACCTGCTGTTCAGCGATTTGTTTAGAGATGTGTGTGTGTGTGTCTGTCTGTCTGGTACATGGTGTGTGTGCGTGTGTGTCTGTGTCCTGTGTCCTGTGTGTGTGTGTGAGTTTGGTTGTATACTTATTTGGACTGTGTATACTTCCTTGGACACCTCATAGGATACCAGCACAGTGTTGCTAACGTACAGAGGCTACTATAGTCAGTTTCAAAAAGATTAGCAATCCTAGCGATCGCCCGGGGAGTTTGCCCTCTTACTGTATGAGCGCTCGAGCGCTGCCTGGAAAAACTCACTGTGAACTCGAAGAAATATTCCGCGCGAAAGCATGAAAAATGACAACTCACTGACGTCGGTACTCGTACATGTTCGTCTGGTTTACAACAAACGAGTTCTTCCTCGCGTCGATATGGAGTCAGAGAGGACATGTCGAAAGTGTGGTAAATTTTGACAAGCGGGATGCGTCCGTTTTGTGACCAAATAGATTCTTTGAGCTGCCGCGAATGCAATTTACTCTCACGATGTGACGAAAACGGCATCGACACAGACTCATTCCCAAGGCCTTGAAGTGGCAAAGTTATCCGTGTGACTTCGACGACATTTTGAGAAAGGAGACGCCTGTGAAAGCTGATGGAAGACGGCGTTGACTGCTAAATTCAAATAAATTGGCGACCTTCAAATACTAAAATAATTCTCAAACAGAAATCGATCGATCGATGTGCCGGTTTATTCAACAACACGTAGCTACAGCGGAATGACTTCCGTGTTCACTCACACGGTTGCAGTGTTGTGTGTGTTCACAACTTCACATGGCGTGAGCCAGTCAAGTGTCAGTCAGTTCGGCAGGAAACGCGAGCTCCAACAACAAGTCGTTTGGCGCAGCCACCTTCTTTGTCTTGTACCAGCGTGATCACCAAAACAATGAAAAAATGAAGAAAAAATGTTTGACTTGAAGATTTGTTGGGATTTGAACCCACAACTTCATGGTCAGCAGACAGCATTCATAACCACTAGGCCAAAAAGGAAGGGATAAATCGTGGGTTTTGATAACAAATCGATACTGGCTTCCAGGCTGCAGGGCAAATAGGCCTTATGCACATTGTACAGATGCACGAAATCCCGTATAATCTTGTAGAATCCCGTAGACCCGGTTGGGTGTTGAATGTGCAGGACCCTATTGTGTTTACTGCTATTTCCACTATGAAATGGGCCATGAAGGCATTTCATACGAAATCTTTTTCCGGCAGAGATCTAGCTAGTCGTTAGTTCAATCCCAAAGTGAAGAAGGCTTGAAAAGTGATCGTTTGCCATGAATTGTGAGGCTAAATGGGTCAAACGCGCATGTATAGCACACAATGAACACCCAACCGGGTATGTACACACCTACGGCCATAGTACAGAACTTCGTACATCTGTACAATGTGCATAAGGACTATAGACATGATAGATGATATGCCAAATAACGTGCAACTAGACTTGAGAGGGCATTGCACACCAGTTGCATACAAATTATACTACAATGTGTACATAGCAGGCCCTGAGCTTTGCAGGAATGCAAGTCACAGGTAACCGTACAACTTTGAACTTTGTATGCAACTACTCCGCAATGCCCTCTCAAGTCTAGTTGCACGTTATTTGGCATATCATCTACTGTAGAGGCAGAAAATTTCGTCGGTCAATAATTTCGGCCAACTCCAAAGAAAAGGAGTTCGTCCGGTTGAAATTTTCGTCCAAAGATCATAAGAGTGTATAGAAACGCTGGACAAATCGATATTCGTCCTACATTTAATTTAGTCCAAAAGCTCCTTGGACGAAAAAGACGAAATTAAATTCCAGACGAATATTTCTGCTTATACAGTATTATAAACCATGGGAAAAGGCAAGAAACCTGGCCGAAATACTAACTCTTTAACGGTTGGTCCAATTGTTCCGAAACCTTCACAGAACAATTTGCCGTGCCCTAACAAGCCGTTTTATGTACTTTGTTGTCCAAATTTCCCTTATCTTCATACTTTTTAAGACCCAAACTTGATTGCTAATCTTTTTGAAACAGACTGTAGTAGTGGTCAAAGCTCAAAGAAGTCAGGTGGTCTGTTGACGCCTGTGTGGTGTGTTGTTTCTACACTGCTGCAGGTGTTCATACGCTTTGCCAAGCATCAGCTAGAGGCCGATCGTGTGCGTGCAGACGAGGAGCGGGCACTGACAGCCAGTGGTAGAATGCCGTCGGGACAGTCAACCCATCGTCATAGCAATGGTGGTGCACAGGGGCGTGGACGGCGACGACGTCAACACCCGGCTATGCTCTATTCTAGAAGCAGTGATGCTGTAAGGACTATACATGAAAACATCTTTTATTGTGATGTTGAAAAATTATGATGTTTCGGGCCAGTCACCCATCGTCAGATCGTGAATAGCAACTGAATAGAGTGGTTGTCAGCTGACACCCCACCCCCCCCCCCCCCCCTTCTTTCAACAATAAAATTATGTGGGAATGTAGACTCACCATTCATTCTCAACCTCATCCCAGTTTGCATTAGGTATCACGTTCAACACAGGTTGTCAAAAGGTGTTTTGCTCCTATCACAAAACAGGGGAGTGGCGTGACCACCATGTCATTTTGCGTGCTAGGTAGTACATGTACATGTGCTGCGTGTCGTGTAGTGGTTTGTTGAAGACTCCAACCCAACATCATAATTATAGCACAGTAGGAAGGAAAGTAGGGCTGTTTCGTTGTTACTCAAAGTTTCATGGCAAAAACCTATCATCAGACATTTTATTTTTTATTTTTGAAAAAGCGCAGGTATATGAAGGCAAGTAGAGGAGATAGAATAATCCAGTGCAGACAATATGATAATCAACACCTCCCAGAGGCATTACGCTACAGTCCATTTCAAAACTATAGACACGTAGGGTTTTTGAAATATTTCAAATTTGGCTGGAGCTTTTTGAGAATAGTTTTCGGAATATTGCTCAGGTCCGCTCCACAATTACTCTCATATAGTTTCTAAACGATTGGATAACAGACGCCCAATTTGGAAAAATTTATGCACAAAGTGATCACAGATTTTATGTGGTATAGATGCTGGCATAACGGTTTTTGCCTAGGTACGCGTCTAGACTATAGTTTTGAAATGGACTGTAGTGTAGTACAGTACTATGTGCTGTGTATACTAGCGTACATCACTGTAGTGTGCAGCAGACTCAGCGGAGGACGTTCAGATTTGCTGTAACTCCCAGTGTCATGCCGTGAGGCAACCAGCAGACAACTGATCTGATGATTGCCTCACCGCATCCGTTGAGTCTCAAACTCATCTAAGCAGTCTGTCTATGGCACTGAACACTCTCTGACCAACAGATTTGTTATCTGTTATGCGTTGTATGCCGTGTGTCGTGTGTTATGTTGTGGGTTGTGTATTTTTCAGGTGCAGGTAGTGACGTCGTATGCACCACACGGTGATGGCTGTCAAGAAGAACATGTGTATGTTTAGGTCAATGCACTCACCTGTGCATCCCAACTCGCACCCACCATGAGTGCCGTCATCTGAGCTATTGCTAGTGATGCCGCCTGTGCTGTTGTATACTGTCCAATCATCACTGCAGTCTGCAATCTGCGAGTGATTCCTGGTTTGCTGGGTAGAAGTCCCTGAAGGCGTACAACTCTCGCTCCTACTGCCGTGGGCAGAAAGAGAACTCCCGTCGTGTCTCAAACGCATCGCAGCCAACTGGCCATTGTCGTAACTCACGACCGTGTCTTGCTGCTGGCACTTGGCGTGTCACGTCGTGCTCGAAGAACTGAACAATACCAGCAACAGCGTGTGCTGTGAAGTAATTTGTTGATCTGTCACTGGTGGTGGGAAGTCCAGCGCTCATGACTTCAGCTGATTGATGTTAGTTTGTACAAACAGGTACTTCCAAGCACATGTACATGACTGTATTTGAGTTATTCAGATTGAGTTTAGTTTACCGTTGGAAGGGATATTTTCTTTATTTTCTTGTCTGCTGATCGCTCAGCGTGAGACTGTGTATTTTAACCGACAGTGCGGACTTCTCTATTTTATTGTCTCGATGTAGGGTTTCTTTATGTTGACATTCTATGCATGGTCTCGCGTTGTGTATACCACACACACACACATTGCTTTCTGCGCACATCGCCGAGCCCTATTGAAGTTGACGACACGGTGTCGTCGCATCAGGGCGCTTGAAATAGTTTAGTTGGTGTTTGATGGCTCTGCTTTTTTTTATATCCCAAAGCTTCACTATTTCATTCCTCGCCATTGTATTGTAAGCTGAAGACCGGCAGGGACCGTTTCGTTGATCTACTTTATTTATTGGCCGTTGTTTAAGCATGTCTTTAACCATGTCTTTAACCATATCTTTAACCATGTCTTTAACCATGTCTTTAACCATGTTTGCCACAATGTCCCTGGCCATGGACACATCGGCATTGGTTATTTTTGATTAACCGGGGTTTTTTTTGCGGCAGCGTTTCTGTTGAAGCCCACATTTTAATACTGTATATTTTCTGTTGCAGTGTGATGGCAAACGTGCCCGTTACAAACACTTTCATGACATTGCGTGTCTTGCACATTACCATACATGTACTGACCAGCAGCGGGGAAGAGATCACGGCGTCTTCTTCTCTCTCTCTCCCTCTCTATCTTTGTTTCTGTTTTACTTCAAGGTTACTTTATTCTCTCCACTTTAGTATATTTAGGAGCTGGGCAGCATTATTTATTTCTTCCTTTACACCATATTTCTAGTAGATAGTATGCCTCTATCGTAGAGTATATCTCCAACATTATGTTTTGATCATGTAGTATTGTAGATTGTAACTGGGTCTGCCCTTTGCTCTTCTTGACCAACTCGAGAGCATCCTGATCTGATCTTGATAGAAGTGTGGCTGACTTACATGTACTGTTCCTGTAATTTGGTGTATCGTGATCAAGAGTCTCATCAAACTACACAATGACTGCGGTTTGGTGTTGTTGCTGCACACCAGTGATACCAAGAATAAGTGTGTGTGTGCGCGCGCGTATGTGTGTGTGGGGGGGGGGGAGAATGTGGCACTCTGCCTTCTTTCACTTACTTGCCTGTATCACGCCCAGTAGATCTACTCGTGCACTCAGATCCACTCGATTCATTCAAGTAACGACTGACGCCTTTTCTGAAATTATTTGTGCCATGTGTGTATGTAGGTGCATGATGTAATGCAGGCAGCGCGCTGCACATCTAACCCATAGACCAGGCTATCATGATTGCACAATAGACTCCTGGCCTGACTCAACAGGTTACATGCCTGGATCCGAAACACAGCAAGCCGCATACTCACCCCAGACACCATGTCCACAGCTTCTGTATAGTACGTGATTTCTCCGCATTTTAAACACCATACTAGTAATAATTAGTATTCTCTCTACTTGTAGTAGTAACTTTACTGGTATAATGATCCCCCCCCCCCCCCCACACACACACATAATTATACCGACAAACTGCTCATCAACCTTGGTTCAGATTCTGAACAAAACGCTCAATAAAAAATATATACCAGTACACAGCCCAGCTGACATTGGCATTGCGGACCCAGGGCGGCAGCAGTAGCACATGCAACAGCAGCAGCAACAGTAGAAGAAAGAAACGTAGCTCTAGCACACCACCCACACAAACACACACAGTAGAAAGGAAAGGAGCAAACTAGACCAGAGCAAAGCAAAACACGGGGACACTGGGGATGAGAACCGGCTCAACACCTAACGTTAGAAAAATTTGAAACATATTTTCTCAACTAAAGACAGCAGCAGCAGCAGTGTTGGTGGCGTTGATAAACAGCACTAGGTGCACAATGTCACAGAACTACGAGTATACGTACGAATGATGATTGCATGAAAGTATAGATGCACAGAATACGGCAAAGCAATATACACAGCATTGTGATCAACACAGTAAAGCGATATACACAGCATTGTGATCAACACAGTAAAGCAATATACACAGCATTGTGATCAACACAGTAAAGGCGCCAAAATAAACAAGCATCCTGTCCAATGAGCGAGGAGAGAAAATAGGCGTTTGTTTGAAACAAAACTGCGACCACTCTTGACTCTGGTGCAATCCCAAAACAAGAGCAAAGTGGTAGCGCGCTGAAACAAGGCTTCTGTGCAGAGAGCTACACGGATAAAGTAGATATCAGATGAGTGTCAGAGTAGCTTTGACGTTATAGGGGAGGATTGTGCACACCACACACACACACACAGCGACACACAGGCAGACGGACAGACACGCACACATCAGACAGACAGACAGACAGACACACACACACGGGAGAGTCACAGCGACGCATCTGGCTCGCCCACCGCTACACCGTCATAGACCGGAACCAGCTTGATCTGCGCATCATCCGTTGGATGCAGCTCGGCCACCCCAGTTCTCAACAGCAATGCCTTATAAGGTGACCAGTGCTTATCTGTCAGTTGCAAGTAAGACCGACTGGGATCACCAAACCCGGCGCGTAGTAATTGTTCAATAGTTTCCGCCAGAGAGTGAGTGTGAGCCGGGCGTGAATCGTGTGCAAAGTGTGCCTCGACGGAGCCATCCGACAACTTTTTCTGCTTGCAAGCCCGCTCTCCCTCCTGGCTACCAGCCACGGCGTCCTCCGGGAAATACTCGTCGAGGAAGTCCGACAGCAAACCCTCCACTTTCCTGTAGCGTCTCTTCATCTGCTTTGCCGACGCCGCGAGCTGGGTGCGATCGGGCAGCGATACCGGCTTTGCCTCTTCCTGCGCGGTCAGTGAGATCAGTTTCAGACTGAGCTCTCCCATACAGTCGTCGTGCTGCTGTCCTCGTGCCACACGCGCTCGCAACACCTCAAGATCTTTCTCCACGCACTCAATGCTCACATTCAACCCAGATATCGTCTTACGCAGATCTGAAACAAGTGCCGCGTTCACCACGAACGGATCAGTACTGCTAGTTTCAGGAGTGGTTGAACGAACAGTCACCAAACGCTCGCGCAACAAACACTCCTCCTGACGCAGTTTCAGCAGCGTTTTCACCGGACTCTCCCTCACTTCTGGCGAATCGCATCTGATTGGTGCGTGCGACACGGCCGCGGATCGCAGCTTCTGCAGCTCGACCTCCATCTCCCGACATTGCGCCACCAGCATCTTTCTACTCTCCGCTTCAGCATCGAAGTCAGGGCTTGACTTTGCCATGAAACTTTGGAGCTAAATTCGCAGAATTTCAACACAGTCGCCAATACAGTGCTACCGCTACCCCGAGGATACTAGTAGGAGAGATCTACTTTTACTGGACTCACAGGAGAGAAGCTAACTACCTACTGCTGCTGCAAGATCTTCACACTGCCACTACAAACTTTCAAGCATGCACAAATGCCAGAAAAAGCACAACGATGTTCTGCCAAACTGGACCAAACAGGCAAAAGCAGCGCTGCATGCATGAATGAATGTCGCATGCAAATGCATGATCGTCATCTTCATCTTTTTGTGTTTCGCATTTGGCGCCATATTTCTCTATGGTTACAAAAGTCATGACGAAGGCGCCCGGGGAAATAAAAAAAAAGCCCTGATATATACGTATAAATCATTGCATTGCATAGCGCATGACGTGCGGCAACTAAAAAAAGAGAAAGAGGAAGAGTCTGAAATCCTCCTTCGCTTCAGTAGGATTCATTTTTCTTGTCTGCAATCCAGCTCCCCAGCAAATAACGTTGCATGTGCCCTTTACATTTATTCGTCAGCTAAAGTGGCTACAGAATGTCAGAGTTTCCTCAGCTTGAGCTGCGCAGTCCGAATGTGGCTGTAATCTGGCTTGGTGACAGCGAGAATCGCTTTAGAACGGACTATTTGAAAAGACTGAATGGCCTGCTGGATACGATCCTAAACGATGACAAGTGAGGAAATGTTAAACCGTGTGCGCTCCAGGATCTGCACTCCCCTTCCCAACCATATACATGTACCACTAGTAGTGAATTATTTTAGGAAATTTAGGATACATGTAACTTTTAAAAAAAATTGAATGATAATTATTATTTGTAGAAGAGAAAAGGACATATCGATACGAGTTAAGAGTAACTCTCCATCACTGTAACATGATACTATATACAGTCAGAAAGTGCAATACTAGGCACAAAACTGACAGAGTACTGAAACATTCAACGTCCTGACACCTAGCTTCAACACATCTCCGTAGCGCTAACCGACAGCCTTCCAACTTGGAAGGTTCAAGGTTATGGAAAGACCAAAGAGAGTTTCAAATTGCACACCTGATGAGCCGTCACGAACCATACGGCGAAACGTATGTCGTGTGAAACAACTTGTTTTGTAGTCAACTAGTCCATCACAATGTCATGCATGAGGAGTACTGTAGGAGTTTGGCTTTCGGCTTGTACAATTCGTTTTCGCAAAGCTTCCCTTTCTTTATTTATCTTTGATATTTATGACCCACCCAAGTTGGGTGGTGTGCTGCTTTGCTGCTTCGAATTGTAGTTAGACCGCTTTGTCAAATATCGTACTGGTCTCGTCATCGTCCAGTAACAATCGACATTCTTTGTTCCGTTGGGACTGTAGCTTTTGCTCATTTTCGTTGCGCTTGCCTTCCCCTCTTTGGTCTTTCCATAACCTTGAACCTTCCAAGTTGGAAGGCTGTCGGTTAGCGCTACGGAGATGTGTTGAAGCTAGGTGTCAGGACGTTGAATGTTTCAGTACTCTGTCAGTTTTGTGCCTAGTATTGCACTTTCTGACTGTATATAGTATCATGTTACAGTGATGGAGAGTTACTCTTAACTCGTATCGATATGTCCTTTTCTCTTCTACATGTATTTATGGCTCAACATCCGAGTTTCAAATAATTATTATTATTAGTGAATTTCTGTCACACGGTAAAACGTACCAAAGTACGTATGGCCGATGGAAACCTCGTCGCGGTACGGGATCAAGTTTTACACGGATATTTGCATACCGTTTTCCGTGTGAAGCGCGTCTCTGTGTGAAAACTGAGCGCACAGAGTACATGTGGCGGGAAGTTCGAGCATGCCGTGGAGAATCCATAAATACACAATTTAATACAAAATACAGAATGCTACGCACAGCAGAACCGGCACAACGTACAAAAAATTCGTGTCAAACTTCACTGCAGTTGACACAGAGTTTGGTACGTAGTTCCGTTTAGCAGAAACTCACTATTGAATGATATCAGTCACGTGCCGGGTTGTAGAGTCAGAGGTTCAGAGTCAGAGCTTGTGGAAACGTGTTATTCGTGATGCACCGATGCCACACATCTTGCAGCTGCCAGAATCCCACGAATGACACAGTGTATCGCCTGTGTGCATCGGTGCATCACAAATAACACGTTTCCACAGGCCTCGCCACGCCCTGACCTTTGTTGATGAACTGCATGCAATGATCATGTAAGTGTTCATGATGGGCTCCGACTCTGAACCTCTGACTCTGAACCTCTGACTCTGAACCTCTGACTCTGAACTTCTGACTCTACAACCCGGCACGTGACTGATATCATTCAATAGTGAGTTTCTGCTACATGGAACTACAGTCCATTCAGAAAAAAATGAACTTCTAGCTTTTGGCCATAAATGGGTCAAACGTTGAGTTTTTTTAGAATTTTTTTCTGCAATCCCATATGGAATCCTCTTCCAATTATGTTTCTGAAGTTTTTTTGTCCAAAAAGCAAGCCATAGCAAGAATAGGATTTCGGCCAGGTTTTGCCCCAAAAGCACTGAATTGGGAAAAACCATCAAAATCCAGGCCGTTTGACCCCGCCTGCAACAGTGCATTCTGCGGTTCGAACCCCAGTTCAGGCACCCTTTTTGGACCCTTTTTCAAATTTCAAAGTTCGCAGCACTGCACTGTGTACGATGAAATCACGAAAAATCGCCAAATACGGGAGCTCGCCAGAGCCAGGACCCATTTTTTTATGAATGGACTGTACGTACCAAACTCTGTGTCAAAAGCCCAGAAAGTCGTTATTCAAGCGGTGAATATGACATCGGGGCACTAAAATCCTGTCGCTATTCGCGAATTGTTATTCAGATAGTCGTTATATCCGAAGTTAAATGTATACAGTCAGATGGTACTTTGCTGTGGGCATGGAAATTCTGTCGTTATATCCGCAGTTGTTATTAGCGAAGTTGACTGTATACACAGAGGTAAGCAGTGAGGTTAGGGGCATTGGGAAGATGGATTAGTGGTGCGTGGTGGGCACATCAACGTGTGGTTGGGGGTAGCAGCGAAGAACAAATTGCTATGTAATTTTGTACGGGAGATATGATAAGCGATTTTGCAACGTCAACAGAGGGAACACAAAGAGTTCATAGGTGCACAAACACGCAGAGAAGAATACTTGACGGAGTGTGTGGACGTGCAAAGTCAGACAGAGCATTCATTGCAAGGTGTAGGGGATGGAGGCAAGCTTAAATTGCTGAGCAGCCTTGATCTCCGTTACACTGACTCCTTGGGAGTGCATTCCAGGCCAAGGCTGCCTGAAAGGCCAGGCGAGATCTGCCGACTTCTGATTGTGCCGAGGGGACAGTGAGGCCCCGGAAAACCCGGTGCCGGGTGGTGATACCAGCTGATGGTGAGAATAGATCCTGGGGGACACTGCTGGCTTTCCCATTGACACAGCGCCACACCAGGACGAGTCGCTTCTGAGCGTAGTACTTGCGAACTCTGTACAGGGACATCCGTTCGAGCAGAGGCTGGGCAGAGGTGTGAGGCGGCAAACCGTATACCGCTCTCGCCGCTCGCTTCTGCAGGACCTGAAGGCGATCATGCTGTGAAGCCTTGAGGGAGGAGGAGAAGGCATTAGATCCGTATAGGAGGTCAGGCATGATGACTGACCTCGCATACTGGATGCGACTACCGAGGCAGAGGCATCTGCAGGGGGGGGGGGGGGGGGGTAACATGTCCACCATACCTACCCACGAGCCTAGTCATAGAGAGGATCGCATGATCGAGTCCGGAATGCTCTATGTACTTCTGCTATCTACTCTCGCCTCTCACGACATGTCAGACACTTTTATTGGCAATAAACCGTACATACGTTTGCAGTCAGAGCGGCGTGTGAGGGAGTAAGATTCGACTCTGATGGATACCAATGTGATGAGGATCGTCATCATTCCAAAGAAGACAAAAAATTGTCGAAACGTTTTTAAAGATATCCTTATCCACCAAGTCTGTATCCACCAAGCCCATGGTCATGCTCCTGTTGTGCAGTTCAGCTATCTACCCCTGTATCTACCCCTGTATCTACCCCTGGACTGAAGAGGCCTTTATGGCCGAAACCACTTGCTGTCTACAGCATTGGGTATCTACCCCTGGATTATTTTGTTAATGAATCCTTTGGCTAGACCTGTGCTGCTATGTCACTGTTCAGATGCCAGCGTTTGCTGATTTTTCCGTGTGTGTGTGTGTGTCTGTATCTGTGTGTGCACGTGTGTGTGTGTCTGTCTGTCGGTGTGCGTGTTTGTAGATATGGTGATTGTACTATGTTAGTGACTTCAGGCAAGGGTCGGTTCTACTCCAACGGCATAGACCTGAATTGGCTAGGAACACAGGACAGCCAGGGACAGAAAGAGTTTGTCGCATTGGTCCAGCACTCGCTGGCACGCTTCCTGGAATTTCCGCTCGTCACCGTGGCAGCCGTGAACGGTAAGCTGTGCAATCCCCTACACTCCACACCCCTCCCTCCCAAGAATGCCACATTTCCCCTAATAAATGTACACGTCTCCAATAGTACTTCAAGTAGTACATGTTGAGCATGTATCAAGAATACAAAAGGACAACGTCTCTCCCTGTAATAATAGTACAGTCGAATGTCACTTATCCGGTCGCCAGTTATCCGAGCACGTCGGTTATCCGACAAGCCCGGGAGTGGTAATTTTATGACTCTCAAGAGTAAAATCCTTAAAAAATGTTTTTTTGGGTATATTATTAGGGATATCAGCGAACGCACTGCGCAGCCCATCTGCGCAGGTCAGCCTGGCCCATCTACGCGCGGCCGACAAGAAAACTCATGAACACTTTCATTTTTTTGCAAAATAAATCGTGCGAAGAAGATGCACGGAATGGCTGAAAACTAGGCTGAGGAAAAGTAGCATCCAGAGACTCTCAAACAAATTCATGGTCCATCGCTTCTGACAATGGCAGCGAAGACATCAGGGAGCTGATTGCAGCAACTCTCTACCAAGCGCGACGCTGGTTACTCACCAGGGCAGGGCGCTTCCATCGCGCAAGAAATGGCCTCGAGCGAGAAATGCAAGTCCGATTTTGGAACGATCCAACCAGGGTAATCCCTTGAAAATTGGCCTTAACACCTCTCATACTGGTGTTTCACGGTGTGCAAACTTTCAGAGAAATCGACCGGGGAGAATGTGGTGAGTACGTGGGTCCTCCGTATCGCGTATGATTTGAATGGTCGCGGGGACAGAAGAACAGTAATTTTACGACTTCCAGCGGTGCAAACAGACCGCGGCCATGTTTTCTCTGTCGGCCGCGATCACGTTCAAAAAATCGATGACGCAATGCATGCGCAGAGGCCTGCGCAGTGCGTTCGCTGACATCCCTAATATTATACGGTGTAATATGCATTTACTTGAAGTAGATGTGGTCAAGTATGCTAACATGTATGTGTACATGGAGCAATTCATGAATATGCATGAATATATGTTGGACTCAGTAGAGCGTCCAGCCCCTATATGATGTCCAACCCCTATATAGAGTCCATTGGTCCAAAATCAACTGTATGGAGTCCAAACTTTGAAATCAACTATAAGGAGTCTTTATGTGGACAACACTCCCTGTATAAAGTCCAGCCAATTAGGCATCCCCTATCCAGAGTTCGAAATTAGACATAGGATCTGCTGTAAGCAGTGAATATTAACCAGAAACCGGCCTCTCCCTTTAATCCTTTACATCATTCACTTCTCAAGATAAAAATTAATATAAGTATTGAGGCGCCACTGCAGCCACTTCATTACATGAAAAACCCTACAAACACCATCCTCAAATCAAGTGGTCTCTTCGCAGACGCTGCAAATTACAATATCTCAATCATGTAGTGTTGCCAAATTATTGTGCACGCACACACGCACACATGCACACACCCACACAACGCCAAGAAAATACCTAGAAAAAAACCAAGAATCGAAAGAGAATAATGGAGAGCCAAGGATTAATTATTTGTTTTCAAATTATTGTGCGCGCGCGCACACACACACACACACACACACACACATCATCTAAATGTCCCGCTATTATCTGCAGAGGTGATTTCTTCCCTCGTCGATTTCTTTCCTGCTTTTATACCTCGATATTTAGGTACTTGTTTCCCTTCTTCCCATGCTTCATCTTCCACTCTCCTCTCCCCCATTTCCCCATTTTTCTTGCGATATTTATGTGGGAGACTTCCGTGATAAGCATCCATTTGCTTTTGGAGAATCCTTTTAAATAAATACAATACAATACACACACACACACACACACACACACAAACTTATACAATGCCAAGAAAACACCAAGAAAAGAGTAGAGACACAATACACACGCAACTCCAACAGCCATGCAAACGTCCACCCATTTACACGTAAAGTCAAGAGGGATAACAAATAATTATACGAAACGAATGCATACGTGGACGGGTGCACGCACGTTTACATACATGTAGTAGTGTAAGACTAAGAGAGTAACATAGTGCAGTAGTCAGCATACTACTAGCACATGCTGAGAGTGCAATAGCAAGCTTCACCATTGCTCATGGCCATGCAAATGTTTAGCAGCACTCAGTTCCGCAAGCTTCTGAAGATCAGCACACCTGCAACAAATAGATAACACAAGGATACGCTTATTACCGTAATGATGCATGGGAGCACACAACTACCAAGTTCTCAACGAATGTGATGCTCAATGAAAATCCATCCACTCAAAGACCTGTGAACAGGTGACGGTGGGGACAATAATCTATTAGTAATACGAGGAATAAGATCGTTTGTGCACGCTCAAGACGCACAGACACACCACCATACATGTAGTGTACACAGTGTTTCACTTCACTGCAACTAAATTGAAATTCGATGATTTGAACAATCTGTACAGCGTTGCCGTCAGTCAATCTTCCCCAAGATGGAAATGCACTGATTTGTTGTCACGAGGCAGTTTCACTGACACAATGTCATGTTTGTGACATCAAAACGGTTACTTCATGGAATACGAGTACTGTAAATATACAAATTTTCGGCAGCTATTTAATTTCGGCTATATTCGGCACCAACCCAAAACGCCGATGAAATTTTTCACAGCATCTGTTGCACTATACCATGCCCTCTACCCAGTACCCCACGCCGAAAATAAATCGCCGCCGAAACGTCAAAAATCGTGAAGTGCCGAAATTTTGCAGCGCCGAAATTTTGTATATTTACAGTACATGTATTAGCTTGAGAAGCTTTTTCTTGTCATCGGCATACAAGAAATCTTCCTACTACTACTACTAGCACACTGGCACTGCGTTATCCCATTGTATTTGACATCATACTAGAGCCTAGTAGAGGACGAGTGTCGTGGAGTTCACTTAATTATCACAGGGATAAAAATACATTTCTCATGAAATAAAATAATAATAATTATTGATGATAGCTAGACGATCGTATACAATTGATGCAAAGTCCTTGCAGTCCTTGAGGACTATTACGAAGTGGTTGATTACTTTTAGGGCATTCATTCAAGCAACCTCAAACAAACGCGATACGATCCTTGAAAATGGAAAAAAAAAGTCAAGCATAACGACAGAACAGCAGACCAATCGAAACGAGCAAAAGCTTCCTTACCTCAGTCATCGTCCTGCCATGTAGTTGGACAGCCTTTTGACACGGTGGTACAGGCAGCTCTTGTCCAGTCAAACAGGGTATCCTTGTGGCGTCGAACGAAAGAGAGTGTCAGTGTATCTGACTCGTCAGATTGGAACTGTGCTGAACTTTTCTCGTTCTCCGCTTTCTGCTTTCATCCCTCGCTCTGATGAAACCGTTCAACCGCCTTACTGGCAGCAATGGCCAGCCAAAGAGGGGATCCTTGTGGTGTCGAACGAAAGAGAGTGTCAGTGTACCTGATTCGTCAGATTTGAACTGTTCTGAACTTTTCTCGTTCTGCAATTTCTGCTTTCATCCCGCGCACTGATGAAACGTCTTCAGAGAACCACAAGACGCTTTCCAGATTTGATTTTGAACGTCTCCTTATCCTCCTTGGTTACCTCGAGACAGATTACTGTCAGCAACTGCACAGCAGAACTGGCAGCGATGGCTGAAGTGAAGAAAGGAATGCGCTGCCACGAGGCAAGCAAAACTGAAAAGTTGTTTGTTCTCTTTCGGGCACAACACACAGGACGTCGAGGACGGCGTGACTGGATAAACTGGACTCCTGGACCGTGAATAGGGGACTTGTAGAAAAAGTGTACTCCTTATAGGGGATTGCGCGGCAGGATGAAGCTGATCAAAACTGAGTGGACTCCTGGACTCTGTATAGTGGATTTTGGACCAATGGACTCTATATAGGGTGCTGGACATCATATAGTGCATGGACTCTACACTGAGTCCTACATATATTTGGGTATTGTGTACATAAATCAGTGAAATCCAGCCATATATGCACATAAAAAATGATATCAGTTATCCAACATATCCAGTTATCCATGCCTGATTCCCGAAGTGGTCGGATAAGTGACATTCGACTGTACATTATTATTATTATTATTATTATCATTAAGGACGTTTAGCAATGCGAAAGTTCGAAAGAAAATTCAAGTTTGGGAATGAGTACAGAAAAAAGCTCGAAACTTCGAAAACTTGGACGCGAAGTTGCAGTGATTTGCGAAAGTAACTTTCTCTTTTCTCGGTACGCATTTGACTACAGGGAGTAGTAATTTTACAGCCCCCTGCTTGAGACTGAGCTGCATATACGGTACGGTACTATAAGATTCAAATAACTTCGAGAAAAAGTCATTTCGCATTGCTGAACCTCACAAGTTTTCTTTTTCGAAACAGATTTTCGCGAAATATCACCACCACCAAAAGTTCGAATTTTCGCATTGCTAAACGTCCTTATTATTGTCTTCAGACTTTTCCCGTTTGTCTCTTTCCCTCAAACCAGTTAATATTTTATGACTTGGGGCTCCCCGCGTGCTAGTTTGTACGTGAAGTGTGTGGGTTACAGTGAGGGCTGCGTCCCACCCGCCTGTGTGGATTCACAGGAAGTGTGAGTTACGAAGTCTGAAGAAAATGTTGAACGGTCTCTGCTGGGATGACGACTACACCATAGCTCAGTGGTTAGAGCATCGCTGGCTACAAGCGAGGGTCCCTGGTTCGAGTCCTGGTGGTGACAGTCAATTTTTTCTTCAGACTTTTCCCGTTTGTCTCTTTCCCTCAAACCAGTTAATATTATTATTATTATTATTATTATTATTATTAACTGGCTTGAGGGAAAGAGACAAACGGGAAAAGTCTGAAGAAAAAATTGACTGTCACCACCAAGACTCGAACCAGGGACCTTCGCTTGTAGCCAGCGATGCTCTAACCACTGAGCTATGGTGTAGTCGTCATCCCAGCAGAGGCCGTTCAACATTATTATTATTATTATTATTATTAAATTTTGAATAGGGCAGTCCCACAGGCCTAGGGCCATGCCAGAATGATGATAGGCATTTCTGCCTACTGAGGTACAGGTACCTTGATCCAGCCTACTACTAGTCACTAACTATGGCTTTTTTCTCTCTCGTTCATTTCATTCGTTCATCTCTGTGTTTTTCTACGCAATTTAGTACATTATTGTAGTTGGAGTGGTATTGCAGGTATTTACAGTCTTACGGTTTCATAGTGATGTGTGGTGTGATACCCATGGCAAGTAATTCATCTTCCCAGAATGAATAAACCTACACGTCTCCAGCTATACTACCGTGGCGGACATAGAATAATTATCAGAAATCCGTTGAGAAGTCAAGCGGCCACGGGGCGCTGGCCTTGCAGCCGTGAGCACTGCTGATCCATGTTTACAGTGTGTACGTGAACTACAGTGCATGTACGCGCTAAAACTTCAAGTAAAAGCAGTAACAGGGCCGGTGCCATTGGTACGGCAATGGTCGTACCGATTTTTACCAATTCCAGCAGTCATGGAATATCCAGCGTGAAATTATTTAAGTGGAAGTGCTGAAAGCTAATCTTGTACACCTTGGCTAGCGTCTCTCCCTCCTAGAATGTTCTTCTTGTCGAGTGAGGACTACTGTGTTGTCTATATATCGATCGGTTGGTAGCTGACTATGTAGCTGCAACAAGCAGATACGATGTAGCATAGAGTTAGAGATTCATCCTCCCACTCGGAACACGGACATTTCCAACTTGCTGGCAGTGCCTTGTCATGGTTAGGTTGGATAAACGAGCTATGAACATGCAGTAATTAACAATACAAGTCTATAGTCTCTTTACAATTGACCAATATGCACCAAAGTCCTGTGTATTGCACTCCATTCTATCTGCAACCTGTCTCCACTTTCGATTGTTTTTTCCTTGTCGCAGGGCACGCGTTTGCCGGTGGTGGAATGCTGGCTCTTGCGCACGATGGACGCGTCATGTCGTCCAAGCGAGGCTGGCTCTCAATGCCGGAAGTTTTCTTGCAGCTCCCGTTTCGTCCCGGCATGTTGGAACTTCTACGGTGAGATTCTCCAGTGCCTTGCTGTAGACTGAAACTGTAGAAAGTTTCCTTTAGAGATAACTATTCAGCACACGAACGATGCACACAAGCCATAATATTATACTCTAACTTAAGGAATTTTAGGTGCTCAATATTTTCGGTATGAGGGCACAAGGCAAGGGTAGGTGAACAAAAAATGTAGGTGCAGAGAAGCAGTTCCCTATTGGATTACGTGTGTTAGTGTTTGTTCCGTTATTGAAACTTTAGGTATGAAACAGATGCACCGAAAGTACTGAAAATAAAAGTACACCGAAAATTTGTGAAATTACAGCGCTGAAGTCTACAAATTTTCGGCCCCTTCGGCCTCCCAGGGCTAAAACCCATTTCGGCCACATCAAATTTCCGGCCTGTACTCCTGCCGCCTGTATACACTGTCACACTGCCGCCTGTATACACTGTCACACTGAACCTCGCAAAACAAACTTTCGCCGACAACAAATTTTCGGCCAAACATGACCAGGCCGAAAATAAATATGCGCCGAATATTTGTTGACATACCGTAAAATTCCATAAATAAGGCCAAGTAAAATAAAATCCCAGTTTATCGTCCTTTTTTTCACAAAAATCGGGGAGGGAGGGCGGATTTTATTTTTATTTTTTATTTTTTGATGTGCTACAGACTAGTATAGTTCTTGGTAAACAATGACACATCATGTGCAACAATCTGCAACAGAATAGTGGTAGTGTATGGAATACACAATGCTATAACAGTTATATGTACATAAACAATTACATGCAAAATCTTTGGATCGACAGATTGTCACTCCACTCATAAGACACAAACCCCAATACTGTTTGGTTCACACAGACCACCAGATAAATGATAGAAAGCTGCAGAAGGGAAAGAACCAGTCAGGACAGTAACCAATAGTCAGTCATAAAGGGAACATGTTGGAATACAATTCACTTCTTCCCCTGAGGGACATGCGTGCGGGTACGCTTCTTCATGGCGCTCTTCCCAGACTCCTGGCAAGCACCACACACAGGATACGCATCGGCATTATTGACTAGACCCTCTCCTGAAGCGCAGTAGCAGCATACAGTGGGATACCCAGCAGAGTAGTACGGGATCTCAATAGGACTGTCACATGTGAGATTTCCCTTGACGTGCACGGAAGCCAGGGCACTGGTGACTTCGCAAGCTACATCCGTGAGATGACTGCCACAGGAGAAGCTCAGGGTCTCCAAGGCCGCGACCAGTTCCACACGTGCTGCTGACTTGACGCTCTGCTTGGCATACAGAACACGAGGCTTGCCACACTCGGAGCACCTGATGACCTCCTTGACATTCTTGGCATACTGGGCGCTGGGCGGGAATGGCATGCCATGACCACCAGAGGCTGACTGGCTTGCTGCAACCAGAGATGGCCTGTGCTTCTCCGATGTTGGTTCGCCATATACAGCATCAAAGCTCTTGTACCGCTCGCCATCAGGTACAGGGTCTGGGAGGTGATGCAGCTTCGAGAAGACATCCTCTGGCAGTCGCGGAGGCTTGCACACTGAGCATGCTGGTTTGCCACACTTCAGGATGGTGAAGGAGTAATGCCGGGCAATGCAGTGCTCTTCCAGGAATGTCAGAAGTACCTTGTTCTTTGAAATGGACTGCTTGGTGGTACTCTTGGTATCCAGTGACGGGTCGATGAGTTTGACGGTGTCACGAAAAGCCTCAACCTCCTCGTCCGTGGCAGCATGAAAGCACTGGAATGGTACACCCGTCAGGCGAAGGCGTTGGAACAGCGAGCAAATCAAGATCTTCATATCTTCCATTGCATCCAGCACTGCATCTTTCAGGCCAGGGGTCTTCACGGCAGCATTCCTGATGTCCTTCATGTTGTTGCAGCCTTTCAGTTGATTCTCGAAAGTGGTCTCATTCCGAACTACACCGACACCCTGCAAAGCGATGTTCAAGATCGACATGATGCGCTCCACCGGATTCTTCCAAGAGTTGTACGGGGGTGTTCGAACAGCACAGACATAATCTAGGTCGAGCTTGATGAACAGCGACAGGAGGGACAACTGCGTGGAGAGGTAGGTTGGACGATGGTCGGGCCCGCCATCGGTGTACATGCAGAGGATAGGTTTTACATCGCCTTTCTGCAGGATACTCAGGAGCTCGCAACCATGGCGCGATGGAGAGGAATGTTGAAATACACAGTCCTTCAAGCCCACGTGGACTGTTCCGCGATAGAAGGAGTCATCAATGGATTCTGGCACATCCACAATGAGATTCACGCTTGGTGTGAGATTGAACTTCGTGAAATCGTGGTCCGAAACTACCAGTTTTTCATTCAGCCCAACCAGAACCGGCTTGCCTCGATCTACTGCTGCCACAGGATGCCCAGGCTCTCCAACTTTGATTGTGTGCTTGTCATCTTGGCATACAAAGCACACATGATCACGAAACTGCACAGCAAATTCCCGTTCATAGCGAAACAGAGCGCTGGCGTAGTGGCAGTCAATGTGAGCTGTCCGGAACTGACGTGATTGAACCATGAATTTTACTTTGAGTTTGCCCGTGTAGTGGCGAGCTGTAGCCAATGCAGGATTTCTCGGCCAGAACTGATACCGGAGCCATTGCACTGACGGGATGGGTGTGTCTGGAGGGCAACGCTTAGTGGCCTCCTCGTGCATATCCCTGACGCTCAAGGCCTTGGCAAGGTGAGTAATGACAGTGTTGTCTTCTTCCACATTGTCATGCCGTCGGTCATCAACTGCAGTCTCCACGGAGCTCTCAATGTATTGCTGGCATTGCTCAAGAAAAGCAGTATATGACTCGGGCCTACCGCTGTTCACAGTGCGCAAATCCCAGATGAGGTCTGCATCCTCTGTTTCGAACATTTCTGCAATTCGTTTGTCCACTGCTGCTTGGTCTGCGTTTGTACTGGCACTCGCATCTCCCGTGAGCCTTCTGTACACCTCCCGCAGAAATGCAGGCTTGGTGTTCGTCACAGAGCCAAACAGATGGATGAATTCCCTTCGCATAATGCGAGTGTGGAATGTTGGCATGCAGGATTTGAGCTGTTGCTGGATGGCGGAATTCTTTTGCAGGAGCTCAGATTCCTCAGCACACTCTGGAATACGCCAGATGAAATGCACATGCGCCTTGCTGCCAGTGTACGAATACAGAACGCACTTGACGGGCACAACTATCCCCTCCAGGTACTCGTGTCTCCGGCGATGTTCAGTAGGACAATGGTCCTCAATCAGGATGTGTTCATAATCCTCAGCAGCAGATATAGCGGCGTGCAGACTTCTATATCTCGCACCCAGAGTTGGCTTCACGACTAGAGTCGCCCCAATCACCTTCAGCTCATCCACGTCAGTTCTCACGCAGGTACGCTTGGCTTCACTGGTGTAGACTGTATCCAGATGCGCTTTCAGGTACGCAGCATACTTGCGGAAGTTGTCAGCAAGTCTCAACACAGCTTCCCGGACACTTTTCCAGTGCTGGTGCTTCATGTAGGAGCAGCCAGCCAAGAAGAACAGGGATGACGACAACGCATCCAAATTCTGGCGGCACAGGTTCGACTGGTCCCGCTTTCTCCTTTTGCGATCTTCCGGCGTGTTGTACCCAACAAACTTCTCCAACAATGCAGGCACTGCACAACCTCGACTTGACAAGGTGTGGTGATTGCCATCGATATACCACAATGCATCACTGATTGTTCCTACGAAGTTCACACCAGCTGATCCAGCAAGCGCCTCTTCCCAGCCCAACTTGTTCTCCTCCAAGAACAGCAGAAGATCATTTTTCAGCACAGCTTTCTTGTTGACAGGGTTCCATTTCGGCGGAAGAGCACACTGCGTCTTCGACGCAGCCATCAACATAGCGAAAGCGTCACCAGACGGAGTTCTCTCCTGTGTTGTCGCTGTCGCTGCCTGTTCAGGGCAAGCGATAACGAATTCCACGTATTGCCCAAGAGCGCTGACAGTCTCGCCTACTGGCGAATCTGGACTCACAGGGGTTTTGGAACCTTGCTTTGTGTCGCCAACACTAGCTTGGACACAAGAGACAACGTCGCTCTCCTCAAGGCGCTCCCCATGGTCCAACTCGCCAGCGCTGAACTGGGTGAAAATGTCCGAGAGAGTTGAAGACGCAGAGACAACACAGCCATACCAGGACTTCAGAACTTTCAACCCGCGACGGATTTGCAGCAAAACAAACGGCATGTCGCTTCTCAACAAAGTCGCAACTACGGAAAGAACGGAAAACTGTCGAGGTCTCGACAGGATGAAGACGGACTTTCGGCAGAAAGACGAAGCTGTGTTTTCAAGCCTTAGCCGACGTAAAAAATCAAGCTTTTTGGCAAAATTCTAGATTTAAAAAATAAAAATAAATTCCGGGCGGCCTCGAAAAATGGGGCGGGCGGGGACGATAAACTAGGATTTTTTTTACTTGGCCTAAGCCCACCCTAAATAACGCCCATGTCCGATAATAAGCCCAGTTTTAGGCGGTGTACACTTCAAGTCCGTTTTAGTGCCCTTGCCCGAAAATAAGCCCAGGGCGTAAAGTGAACTCAAAATGACCAGCGCGCGAGCGTGCGTTCTGCCTTACCTGCTTCAGCATCACGACGTTTTCAGCCATGCCGGTACCTGTTGTGCCTTGTACTTACCATAGCAAGTGGTTTACCTATCAAATCTGTAATTATTTATCGCTACATTCTTGGTTACGACCAAATTTCCAGCTGTGGTTTGATGTACCTGTACCGCACTCAGTGTGAATGGTGGTTCAAACTAGTGGGTTGCTGATAGATTGATCTTCTGCAGATTACGTCCGAAATAACGCCCATGCCCTAAAATAAGCCCATGCCCAAATATACGCCCGTTTTTTGACGCTCTGCAAAGTATATGCCCGGTGCTTATTAACGGAATTTTACGGTACAGTAGTTTCGACTAGGCCTTTCGTACCATTAATTTTCAAGTCGAATACAATTCTGTGCTTCGTGTGCTGATTTGCTTCCCTCCAACCAAGAATCTATTGAATTACTATTGTTTACCTGAAGTGGAATCCCAAGTGAAGGGAAAATCTCTCTTTGCTTACCGCATGCTGTATATGGGGAGAGGGACCCGTGGTAAGCGTTCATGAATGAAATACACTCTGGGACACTTCTTCTTCTTCAGAGGGTACAAGGTTCATGTCCTGCTTGGAAGCAGAAGGATTTTTCCAGCCGTGCTGCGACCCACAGTGAATTCAGAACTCCTGGCCTGACACTAGGGTAATGTCACTAATATGGATGCAGCAAATGGGATTTTTGGTCTTTGACCACTTGGTGGTGGGTCTGATCTACTCACCTCCCTCCGCTTTTGGAGTTGCATCTGCGCCATGATCCTAGAGGGTGGTGGTGTTCCTACAGTTGCGGAAATTTCAGTCTGAAGAAAGAGTCTCTCTCCCCCCCCCCCCTCTCTCTCTCTCTCTCTATCTCTCTCTCTCTCTCTTGTGAATCATGAAATGTGCTGTTGACTGCGTTTGTGTGGCACTAACAGGTGTAAGGTACCGCTCACGGCGCACCGCGACTTCATCGTGCTGGGCCATCGTTTCACTGCAGAACGTGCCAAGCAAGCTGGTCTAGTGGACGTTGTCACATCCACCAGTAACTCACAGGAACTTGTTCAGCAAGGAGGTGAGTTTATTTTTTCCAATGTAACAGATAGACCTGCATAATGAACTACAGCATTGACTCCAGCATTGACTCCAGCATTGACTCCAGCATTGACTACAGCATTGACTCCAGCATTGACTCCAGCATTAACTACAGAATTGACTCCAGCATTGGGCAACTGCATAGTAATAAGGTGGCGATGTGAGCCCTTTCCCCATCCTCTCTTTTAGTGTTGAAACGAGCTCGCCGGGAACTCGTTAGCTCACTCGCCAGAAACTCGGCTCGTTTGTGCGGCCAGCTCGTTTGCACTAACGAACACTGTATACTGTACTCCGTACACATGGCAGTACATGTCGAACGGGGAGTCGTAGAATATTTTACGACTCCCTGATCGAGAGTCCAGCCCCGCGCAAAGTGAAAATCACTCGCAGTTACAGTGACTGTATACCTGCACGACATGTCAACACTGAGTTGTTTCAGTTGTCGTTGCAGCTTTGGTGGACTCCACTGATGTCTTGTTCCGCATCTGCTGACCTGTCGCAGTACATGCTTCTGTCAACTCTCTGAAAGTTATGCTCAGTCGTTTGGAAGTTTTCTCCCCCGAAGCAGCGAAGAACAGGGCTACTTGCGATCTGTGAAAACAGTCTATGGAGTGACCAGTATTCGCAAAGCATGGAGTGACCAGTATTCGCAAAGCATGGAGTGACCAGTATTCACAAAGCATGGAGTGACCAGTATTGGTAAAGCATGGAGTGACCAGTATTGGTAAAGCATGGAGTGACCAGTATTCGTAAAGCACAGACTACCCAGTATTCGTAAAGCATGGAGTGACCAGTATTGGTAAAGCATGGAGTGACCAGTATTGGTAAAGCATGGAGTGACCAGTATTCGTAAAGCATGGAGTGACCAGTATTGGTAAAGCATGGAGTGACCAGTATTGGTAAAGCATGGAGTGACCAGTATTCGTAAAGCATGGAGTGACCAGTATTGGTAAAGCATGGAGTGACCAGTATTGGTAAAGCATGGAGTGACCAGTATTCGTAAAGCATGGAGTGACCAGTATTGGTAAAGCATGGAGTGACCAGTATTGGTAAAGCATGGAGTGACCAGTATTCGTAAAGCATGGAGTGACCAGTATTGGTAAAGCATGGAGTGACCAGTATTGGTAAAGCATGGAGTGACCAGTATTCGTAAAGCATGGAGTGACCAGTATTGGTAAAGCATGGAGTGACCAGTATTGGTAAAGCATGGAGTGACCAGTATTCGTAAAGCATGGAGTGACCAGTATTCGTAAAGCATGGAGTGACCAGTATTGGTAAAGCATGGAGTGACCAGTATTCGTAAAGCATGGAGTGACCAGTATTCGTAAAGCATGGAGTGACCAGTATTCGTAAAGCATGGAGTGACCAGTATTGGTAAAGCATGGAGTGACCAGTATTCGTAAAGCATGGAGTGACCAGTATTCGTAAAGCATGGAGTGACCAGTATTCGTAAAGCATGGAGTGACCAGTATTGGTAAAGCATGGAGTGACCAGTATTCGTAAAGCATGGAGTGACCAGTATTCGTAAAGCATGGAGTGACCAGTATTCGTAAAGCATGGAGTGACCAGTATTCGTAAAGCATGGAGTGACCAGTATTCGTAAAGCATGGAGTGACCAGTATTCGTAAAGCATGGAGTGACCAGTATTCGTAAAGCATGGAGTGACCAGTATTGGTAAAGCATGGAGTGACCAGTATTCGTAAAGCATGGAGTGACCAGTATTCGTAAAGCATGGAGTGACCAGTATTCGTAAAGCATGGAGTGACCAGTATTGGTAAAGCATGGAGTGACCAGTATTCGTAAAGCATGGAGTGACCAGTATTCGTAAAGCATGGAGTGACCAGTATTCGTAAAGCATGGAGTGACCAGTATTGGTAAAGCATGGAGTGACCAGTATTCGTAAAGCATGGAGTGACCAGTATTCGTAAAGCATGGAGTGACCAGTATTCGTAAAGCATGGAGTGACCAGTATTCGTAAAGCATGGAGTGACCAGTATTCGTAAAGCATGGAGTGACCAGTATTCGTAAAGCATGGAGTGACCAGTATTGGTAAAGCATGGAGTGACCAGTATTCGTAAAGCATGGAGTGACCAGTATTGGTAAAGCATGGAGTGACCAGTATTCGTAAAGCATGGAGTGACCAGTATTCGTAAAGCATGGAGTGACCAGTATTGGTAAAGCATGGAGTGACCAGTATTGGTAAAGCATGGAGTGACCAGGCAGTGTTCCATGTACTGTAAAGTAAGAATTGTGAGCAAGGTCGCCCGGTGTAAAGTGCAGTGGTACGTGTGTAGTCGCATGATAGCCGGCATTAATGTACTACCCCAGTTTGATACCGGTGTACAGTTCGGTTACTGACTTGATTTTGTAATGATGGTATGTATTGAAAAATCGAAGCCCCTCTTGAATAATATAAGCATGCTTTAGATTGGCTCAGAAAGTGGTGGACATCACGCAACTCCATTGTAAATAAAAGGGGGTTTGTCAACTGACAACCACTCTATGTAGTTGAGTGAATTGCAACTAAATAGAGCGAGGCTTTAGATTGGCATTGAAAAAATAAAAAAGCCCCTGGCTTCTAATCTAGTGAGCATGGTACTTGATGCAAATATGCACTGATCTGTCCATCTTGTGACCACTGCTGTTGCTGCTGTTGTTGCTGTTGTTGTTGTTGTTGTTGTTGTTGTTGTTGTTGTTGTTGTTGTTGTTGTTGTTGTTGTTGTTGTTGTTGTTGCTGCTGCTGCTGCTGCTGCTGCTGCTGCTGCTGCTGCTGCTGCTGTTGTTGCTGCTGCTGCTGCTGCTGTTGTTGTTGTTGTTGTTGTTGTTGTTGTTGTTGTTGTTGTTGTTGTTGTTGTTGTTGTTGTGCTAGTCGAGCAAGGCTTACAGTTACAGGGTGGCCGTGACATGATGCGTGACTCACTGGCCATGATGAAATCTGACATGTATGCCACGGCTTCGAAGGCTCTCCGAAACGACGACGGCCTCCCGGACCCTAGGATTGCACACCTCTTCGCCAAGCTGTAGAAAAGCGCTGCGTGAGTGAAACTTTCCACACGTACATACCCCACACACATGATGAGTTGATATTGCACTTGAAGTGACGGGATCACTTCGGGCAAGTTTCAAGAGGCTGGAAACGTAAGGAGTGCCCTTCGAACGTACTGACAAACATGCTCACTGTGTCAGTCTAGAAGCGCATGACCCAGCATGACCCAGCATGACCCAGCATGACCCAGCATGACCCAGCATGACCCAGCATGACCCAGCATGACCCAGCATGACCCAGTTCCAGTGAATGATCACGGTGCTAGTGTCTTTCAACAGACATCACTATTTAGTATTTTCCCTCCTCCCGTCCTGACACGGCAAGGGCCAGTACCACTCTGATGCAGAATGTCTGTCAAAAGGCAGTGGTGCAACCCCCCCCCCCCACACACCATGTACCAACACACTTACACACTTACACACACACACACACACACACACACACACACACACACACACACACACACACACACACACACACACACACACACATGGACGTATTGTGAGATGACTGAGAAATATTTACTCTTTTGCTATGTGACCTCTGCAGTCTTCTACAGTGTAAATAGGATTGTGTCTTTTTGAGCCTCTAATCTAGCTTCAATGTTTTAGTGTTTTAGTGTTTTGCCATTAGGCGAGTTGTAGTAATTGGATAGATCATTCTTTTCGCTGGCGAGAAGAAAGCGTCTTCGCCATCCTCTCATACTTAGTGGACGTGTGGGAAACCTCATGGATATTATTATAATGTTTTAGAATGTATATTGGATTTACTTTTCCTATTTCTTGTTATTACGCTAATGATGGGCTGGGCCCGAAATTTGGTCCCCAAGTCTGTGTGCGTGTGTGTCTGTCTGTCTGTCTGTATTGGCAATTTGGCACCTAGTTTAGTTTGAGCCTGTGTGGCGTCTCCGCTGGACACAGACACGGGAACCCCTCCCCACTTGTTCTTACTTCTAAATATCGGTAGTGCAGTGTGGACCTTGCCGCTTGCCATCGTGACACTGACAGTCATTCATCATTGTGGCCGATCCTGGTTCTAGGACCAGGGAGCCCTACACATATGGGCAAGAGTACGGTATCTCCCAGGGATCCGGGAGCATTCTCTTGATGTTGATACCGGGCTCGGGTGTAGGGCTCCCTGCCCTTGGTCCCAGTGGCACATAATAGACAGTCACCATGGTCACGGAGTCAGCGACAACAGCGTAGTACAGTCACTGTCTAGACCCAAATGTTTCGACAGCTTCTGTCCATCTGTCGGTTGACATGAGCACAGGCGCGCTAGGCTACAGGCTAGCCTGCAGAAGTCAGTTGACAGCCTGACACACAGTGACAGGTCTGCTCGAGAGTACTGTAGTGTAGATCTACCACCAAGAGGAAAAAGCCCCCACCAGGCCCAGGCCCAGGAAGCTTACATATTCTTGGTGCCACCACGTGTACGAGTGTCGCATGAAGAATTGTAGGGCTGTCGGCAGGGCTATTTCACTCATTGATCTCCTACGCTGTATCAAAGAGGTACTATACTAGCAAGAGTGCATAAACTGTATATTATGGACTCTTGCTACTGTACTAGTATACCATGGTATACCGGTAAACTAATACCGTAAAGTACCGCCACAGCGCCCCACCATCTCGTCCTTTCGGGGGACGTGGCCGCCTGGAGCTTGTGGAGGTGGATTCCTGTCTGTAGGCCATACGACACAGACCTTGTACAAACATTGCACATTGTGCAGTCAATCCGTACCCAGTTTACCTTCGAGCTCCACATAAAAGCATACCAATAGCAATATCTGGCGGTACTTAAATCTTTACGGTACTGCTACTGTACTATTAACTAGTGTGTCATTGTAGTCTATGATGAATTGATGATGGCAGTATTCATGGTAGACCTACACTAGGCTACAGTATTCGCCCATTTCCTGAAACCTCACAAAGCTCAGCGGTGAGGAGTTGGAGAACACTCATCCACCTCCAACACTACTACATGTACCGGTAACTAGTACTTCAGCTGACACAGTGACAGCAGAGCCTAATACAGTATACAGTAGAGAGGTTTGTTTACTGGTACAATACCCCATGACATTGTAATACCATGAATACCGTTAACACTAGGTCGATGGGAGCATGCGTGTACCTCGTGAGCGATGTACAACAGTGACAACGTACGTTGTCACAGTGAGTCACAGTGTCTGTTGACTGTGTTGTCGCATGCATGCAGGAGACACAACTAGCTGGACGGCCTTGCCAACGTCTCCTCGATCCCCTGCTCGTCCCACCGAGTTTTCCGGGTCACCATCCCATTCCATCCCTCACCTTTTCCGGGATTCCTGTGCGCTATCAGCGCCAAGTCACCTGCTGGTGTCGATCGCTGGGTTGAAATCGTGCCGAGACGCTACTTTCCACTGGTTCCAATCACGTCAGAACAAATCCGAAATAGCTTTGCGTTGAGCTCGCCGGCGACATGGCGCAGATTAGCGCAGACTTCCTTACCGAGCAGTACCTGTACGTGACACGAAGTGTACTTCCATTCTGCGAGCGCGCTTCGGATGTACATGTAGTCACACGGCACTACCACAATGTTGAAATAAATGAAAGGATAGCGACCAGAAATTCAACAATCTCTCCTCCTCCATGCGCTCTCAGCCGACACTTTGCTACCCTCGGTAGCTCGGTACCGTTCACAATTTTATTGATAACGACCAGAAGCAAAGCAAAGCAAAGCAACCTTGCTACTTTGGTGGTGCTATGGCGTCTGCAGAGAACGACGATGTCGTTCTGGAAGAGGAGTGTGAAGATCCCTCTTCAGAAGAAACTCCTGACCGGGTCGTCGTCCTGTTTGGTCGCACTGGCGTTGGGAAGTCAACAGTGGCAAGCGTCCTGGCTGGACGGCCCGGTTGCTATGCAGAGTCGTCAGGAATAGCAAGTCAAACTAAGGGCATTAAGTCGAGACTATTTCGAGTTCGACTGCGAGGAGAAACCTATGTGTTGAAAATTATAGACACAATGGGCCTAGGTGACACTGGACTGGAGAACAACGATGTGGACGTCGTCAGGCAGCTGGTACACCTTGTCAGAGAGTGTTCCGGTGGCATCCACCAGGTCATGTTCGTCACAGAAGGACGGTTTACAGAAGTCCAGCACCAATGCTTCAAGCTACTTCAGCGTGTGCTCTTCACTGAAGACGTTCTCGGCTACACGTGTGTTGTGCGTACGTTCTGCGACAAGTTCGAGGAAGCAGAGGAGGAGGCAAGGGTACGTACCAGCCTTTGCGAGCAATCGGATCTCATGGAAAAGATCAAACACTTTATTCTCGTGAACTGTCCTCCTACGGAAAGAGAGAAGACTCGCGAACTGTACAGGGAAGACCGACGCCTCTCCCGTTGCAAGTTACTAGAGCACTTGATCGACAATTGCAAAGAGGTATTCAAACCAGGCCATCTCCAAGAAGCCAGCGAACGGATAGAGAAGTATGATGAAGAAGGCTGGAGACTGCAAATGCAACGCAAAGAATTGGAAAAACAATATGAAGAGCTAAAAGAATCCACAGCTAAGCGCGAAGAGGAGGTAAATGCGTTGCATCTTAAACATAAGCATGCCATTGCTAGCATTATGGATCAACTTAAGACCGTACACGAGGAGTCAGATGCAGAACGCAGATCACTGGAAAAGAGACTGGAGGAGGCTAAAGACGAGCAACACAACAGACAGGGCCGCGCCAGGGAAGCAGCTCAAGAGCATTCTCTGACTATCCAGGAAATGAAATCCAAGTGCGAGCAATTGCGTGTGGAAGTCGAAGAGGTCGGAAGAAAATCTAAAGTTGAGTTCGAGTCACGCTTGAAGGAGGCCATACGTGCTGACGAAGACAGTTACCGTCAAGCCATTCGCTCCATGAGTTGGCTGAGGAGACTTTGGTACGCCACAAAGTGAATCACAGATCGGAAGCGTTTGTATCATCAGCCGGCTATTCTTTCCTTTGTATTTTTGCGCTGTTTTGTGTATGTGTGTGTGTGTGTGTGTGTGTGTGTGTGTGTGTGTCTGTGTCTGTGTCTATGTGTGTGTGTGTGTCTGTGTCTGTGGGGGGGGGGGGGATGGCGCAGGGCGTATTCCGCTCAACCAGTACCGCGATCGGCTCAGCGTGACACTTCTGTGCTCTGCGATGTCTGCCAGCGTGCTTTCGCCCACCAGAAATACAAGAATCGCCACAAGTGCCTGGCCGAGAGGAGGAAACCGGTATCTGATCAGTCCGGCAGCCGACTATGTAATGCGTGCGAGAGATGGTTTTTGAGTGCTGGCGGGCGGGCTAGCTTCGCATAAGTGTCTCTCCAACTCGGCTGCTGAAGTGGCCTCGGCATCGGTCTCGGCTGTGGCATCGGCAGACTCGGTCCGGAAACAGCGGGTTGCCCTGCCCTGCTGCAGAGCGCATTGTCTCGGCTGCGGTCGCTGCTGCAAGTCATCCCGTGGTTTCGACCTGCATAGCTGTGCTAAGTAATAGTTCCTGTCCAAGAAGTAGAGCGGCGTTTCTGGATCCAATGCTGAACTCAGTGCTGTCGACCCCTGCACAGGGGACACGTGACCGTTTGATGGCAGTGTTACCAAGGACCAAGGCGTGTGTGTTCGGTCCATCGTGGGTATCGGCCGTCGTCAACTGTGGGATGATCGGATCTCAACGGCCACATTAGCGGCTACATTCGGTGTTGACCCTGACATCACCAGCATCATCCGTCGCGACCGACTTCGTTGGCTGGGTCATGTCAGCAGGATGGACGACTCACACGCACCGAAGCAATTGCTGTTCGGCGAGCTGCCTGCCCCCCCCCCCCCCCCCCCCGTCCTCTTCACGGCCCGAAGAAGAGGTGGCGAGATGTGGTGTCGACTGACCTGGCAGACCTCGGCGTGACCAACTGGCTTGAGAGTTGCCAAGATCGTCCCGGCTGGAGACGAGTTGCGAGTAGCACTCCACCGCCACGGCCCGCTCCTGATCCTGTTCTCTGTGGACGCCCGTTTCGTCGACCAGGAGACCTGAAACGACATGCCAAGTTCTGCGCTCGTGTTCTCACTTGAACTTTCCAACATTCACTATCATTGTGTACGCAATGGGCAAGGGCAAGGTCAAGGTGTGTGTGTGTGTGTTTGTGTGTGTGTGTGTGTGTGTGTGTGTGTGTGTGTGTGTGTGTGTGTGTGTGTGTGTGTATGTGATGTGTGTGCGTGTGTGTGTGTGTGTGTATGTGTGTGGTATGTTTTTTTACCAGCTAAATGTATTGTCTTTCATTAGAATCATTACTGTTGCATCCGTAGCTTGGCTAGTCCCTCGAGTTTCCGTGATAGTAATGATAATAATAATAAGAGAAGGCAAGGCGTAGGGCTCCTTTCTTGTTTCTACCAGTACCACCCACCCATTCCAACTGACCGTGATACTGGTACAGTACATGTATACGATCCCTGTATACATGTACAGAATGGACTCTGCCTTTTCACGCGATTGCCGCCAGGCAAGCTCTGGGCGTCTCGCCAAGTGTCATTGTTTGTTTTACATGCGTGCAGTAACTACTTCACTCGCCCTTGGTAGTTCACACTATTGAAACACTCTTAGATCTTCTCATTTTCATTTCTTTCTTCTTCTCTCCCTTTTTCACACCTCGCCTTTATACTTCGCACTATCTTCTGGACGTACTTACACGTTTGCTTCCTCGCATAGCTTCTATAATTGAGGCGACTTTTCCTGATGAGTGTCTCATGAAAATCGAGTTGGAAAACTTTCATGAACATGTACATGACACAGTTGTTGTTGTAGAAGTTTATGTAACGTCGTACCACAAACCGGCGGTTTCGCCTCCTTTGATACACATGTGAACGACCGAGGGAATGAGAGAGAGAGGGGGGGGGGGGGCAGAAATACGGAGAGAGGAAGGGTAGAAAATAAATAAGTGAGTCAACCTCAGGGCTACACTAAAGCAAAAAACGGACTGGGAGAGTGTTTCAATATGACGGACAGTAGCCTGCACTCAGACGCTTCACTCCTTCAGACGGTGAACGGCGGCAGTGCATAGCGGTCTTGACAGGTGGGCAAGAATCAATGCACTCCTCCCGACACCGACAAGCGGATTTTCGTAGAACAGTAACTGATGATGACTATGCACGTGTGTCCGTAGAACAGTAACTGATGATGACTATCAGCTCATCAGTCATGAGAAAGCTGAAGTTAGTAAACCGATTGTGTTGCAATGAGTCACGCGGCAGTGACCTGTTGGATTACCAGACTAGATGGAAGGTGTTAGTTAAAAGAAAGGCGAAGTATTTAGCCTATTTTAGGTACTCAGTACGACAGCAGTGTTAGCTGAGGTCACCTGTCCATGTGGCCACAGACCCTTCACTAGGAGACAGTCTGGATTGTCACGAAGCTGACCGCACACCAGGAACTGAGACAGCGGTTCGACATAGAACACCTTCATTCGCTCTTGCTGCTGCTGCTGCTGCTGCAAGAGCGGACGATGCTTGTGAAAGTTGTGCGACATCGTGCCCGGGTCCTGAAGTTCATTCGGCATTTCGTCGCCTACTACTAGTATCACAATACTCGTACACTCGTGCATCTCACGCACTTCATGTACTTATATCAAACACAGCAGGGAAAACGACAACTAGTTCAGTCATTCCAACCTGACCCCTGTTTAGGCAGAAATGGCGTCCATTCAGGACTTGGATACTCCCTTAGTGGAAGAAGACAAGTTTCCGCCTGAAGGCACCACACCCGACAGAGTGATAGTCCTTTTTGGTGGCACTGGTGTTGGCAAATCCACCGTTGGCAATGTGCTTGCTGGACGACCAAACCTCTTTGCCGAGTCATCTGACACGAAGAGTGAAACGAAAGGCATCAACTCCAAACTGGTGTATGTCCGACACCGGGGAGAACAACGGTATGTGCTGAAAATCATCGACTCAATGGGTCTAGGCGACACCGAATCTGGCGACCATGACATTTCTACTTTGTATCAGCTCGCCAGACTTGTGACAGGATGTAAAGGCGGCATTCACCAGATCCTCTTCATCACAGAAAGCCGGTTCACGGATGTCCAGAGAGAATGCTTCGAGCTAATGCAACGAGTGATCTTCACTGAAGACGTTCTCCGTTTCACCTGTGTTGTTCGCACGTTCTCCGAGCATTTTGAGGAATCAAGCCAGGAGGTCAAAGTGCGTGACGACCTTCGCGAGCAATCAGACATGATGAAGAAGATCAACCGCTTTATTCTCGTTAACTGCCCGCCGACTACTCGGGAGAAGACTCGCGAACTGCACGAGGAAGACCGACGTCTTTCACGTGTCAAGCTGCTGGACCACATCATTCTGGGGTGCAAAGAGATATTCAACCCGGGTGACCTCAAAGACGCCAATGCGAGGGTCGGCGCATATGTACAAAGTGAGAGTAAACTGCAACGCGAGGTTGACGAAGCCAAACAGGAAATCGAGAAACTCAAGAAAGAGATCGCTGAAAAGCAACAATCAGCTGACTGCAGCATAGCCGCATTGACGACGGAGATGTCTGATCTCCGTGCAGATCTTGCCAGCAAGATGGATATGCGCAGCGAGGAGCGCGAAGAGGCATCTGCTCAGCTAGCAGCGGCTCTCGTAGAATCACAGCAGCTTCAAATATTCGTGAACGAGGAACAGGCGCGTTCCGAGGAAGAAATAAAGAGGTTACAAGCTGAGGCGGACCAAGCGACCGAAAAAATGATTCAGGAGATGAAAGCAGTTGAAGATGAAATGGCGGAGAAAATCCAACGAGAAGTAGCTGATTCCCGCCAGAAGTTCGAGAAAGCGTATCGCAGCATGGGATTGTGGAAGAGGCTGCTTGGCCGTTTGCCAAGGGTCGACTGATCATAACAGGCGCTGCTCAGGATATGGCGTGTGTCCTGGACCTGGTCTTCCAGGCTAGCTACAAGTACAAGTGCTGCGGGCGGTGGCCAACAATAAGCATTCATTTGTAGCTCCACTGTAATAATAGCTGTACTTGTCTTTGTTCGGTATGTATGTCACAGCCAGTGCACGACGTCCCAATACTGTACGTTGAAATATTGGTTGGACAGCGTTGCTCATCATCTCTCCTCTTCTACACAACACCATCGTTCTGGTCTCTCTCCCCCCCCCCCAGGCCCTTTGATCACCACTTTGACCAGTCTGCAAAATCACCTCTTTTACAGCTAGCTTTCTGATGTTTTGTGCTACAGTGTACTCAGAATTTATAATAGCTGTATGGAGACATGACGATTATAATAATTATAGTTTATGCTATCTGTTCTGCATCCACGTCACCACCACCATTGCGCTCTGCGGCCGACCAGGAACATTCCCCTCGAATACTAGTAGTGGACGCAGAATTTTCAAGCCTCGGACCGACCGAGTGCTGCTGCTTACGTTCTTGTTATGCTATCTGTTATCAGAGTCAATGTAAACTGTCAGGAAAAATGAAAAGTGAAAATATCTATCATCATAGATTATAAGATATGAATGCTGTAATGCGATTGCAGCACAGCCAAGGTACACTGTACATGTACAAGGCTATAGTTCGTTGCAACCCAGAGTCTCATTCCCATTACAATGCAATCATCAGGGAACATCGAGGAAGGCCACGCCAGTATAGGCAAGGAGAACATGTGGAGATATTACTAGTGGTTTTGTGGTGTGGTGCTATGCTGTGGGTGTTGAGTTGGTAGTACGTATGGAGGAGGAGAGATTGTTGCATTATTGAAGAGCCAAATGGTACCGTTCACAACTTTATTGTATTTCATGGTATTTCTTTTTTTCCACATCCATAGACTTCAACTTGCCCGTAAAAGAGGCTGTCACCCCATAAAAATAAAACAACAAAATTATGCTTACCGTAGTGACGCGCATAATTATAAGCACATGTGCCTGTAACCGGACAGAAGTGCACCCTCACAAATAAGCGCATGGGCTTATACGTGAACCTAAATGCAATTCCATCCCGCGACACACAGAGACCACAAAACACCATGTTCACATAGTTCAATGTGCATTGCGGTATTGCACTATGTGCATAATTATGCTAGGTACCGGTACGCTAGCACCTATGTGTGAGACAAAACGACCCGCAAAATTAGCAAATAACGCAAAAACTCACTCATAAGCGCATGTGCCTTTATGTGCGTCACTACGCTACGGTATAGAAAAGAAAAGGGACCAAGGAACTACAAGTAAGTTATACTAGTCTATTGTCCACTAACACCACCAGTTACTAAACAATCAGCACATGAGATAACATTGCACGACACTGACCGACGGTACTGACGTTCTACAACTAACCGGCTAGCAGCTCTATTATATGCGGGAGCCATATCGTAGAGATCCTCAGCTGTAGACACCAGTTCTTTACGCAATTTCTCTACGTTTCATGTGAAGCAGACCCTCCGTCTCTTGCAACAACAGTCCATCGCCCCCAAAGACTATGGGAGCGCCTGCACAATCTCACCACAGCAGAAGAGTATCATGTCACCTGCCGCTCAATAGGCCCCACGCTGGCCAAAAACGGCAGTTTTACAATCCGTGAGGTTATTGACTTGAAGGAAATACTCAGTCTCTTCATCGTGCAATGGTCGGGACACTCAGTTCAGTGTGACTCAACATAGGACACTTTGGCGGAAGAATTTTAAAACAAAATTTTCTGACCTAAAATTGTACAAGTACATAGGAGGAGAAAAGGTCACTACAAGTTTGACAGCACTGCTAAATATTTTAAAAACAAAAATAAACTCAGTCATCATTAATATCTGTTCCATGGACGACAATGTGAGGCTAAATGCCTTAGGTAGTGTCGAAATATATTAAGAAACTCAGTGGATGGAAGATAGGAGCAGGAGCAGGAGAGGGAGAGAGAGAGAGAGAGAGAGAGAGAGAGAGAGAGAGAGAGAGAGAGAGAGAGAGAGAGAGAGAGAGAGAGAGAGAGAGAGAGAGAGGGAGAGAGAGAGAGTGAAAGAGACAGACAGATACGCTAGCGAAAACGCACACAGTATCAAAAGCAGTCCATACTGAGGGAGGAGTAGGAGTTGGCGGTCGACAATCCGTTAGCAGTATCCGTGACAGCTGCATATGACTTAGGCCGTCTTTGGCTTGCCAATGTACTTGGCTCTTTGCTTGATCATGTGCAGATAGAGGTGGGGGAACACAGGCAGGTACAGCGCGGCAAACAGCACCAAGAAACAGAAAAAGTCAAACGAGACATTGAGGCTGTTTGGCAGCGGGAACGAGAACTGGGCGGTGTTCTTGACGACGGTCATGGCGCGGTACACGCACACCAGCTCACCGAAGACGCCGAGGGGGTACAGCGCGTAGAAGAACGTGTAGCGACACCACAGCAGCGCGTACGGCGTCCATTGCAGCAGCGAGGACACGTAGAACGCGTAGCGGATGATCTCGGTGATGGACCAGCACGTGATCATCATGACGGGACCGTACGTAGCCGAAACACCGCTCGTGTAGTGCAGGACTGGCCAGAGAACAACTATGCGAGAGAAGACCTGGGCACAAGAACCGCAACAGCGACGACGACGAAGACAACAACAACAGCAGCAGCAGCAGTAACAACAACAACAACAACAGCAACAGCAGCAACAGCAGCAACAACAACAACAACAACAACAACAGCAACAACAACAACAACAGCAACAGCAACAACAACGGCAACAACAACGGCAACAACAACGGCAACAACAACGGCAACAACAACGGCAACAACAACAACAACAACAACAAGAGCAACAAGAGCAACAACAACAACAACAACAACAACAACAACAACAACAACAACAACAACAACAGCAACAACAGCAACAGCAACGGCAACAACAACGGCAACGGCAACAACAACAACAAGAGCAACAACAACAGCAACAACAACAGCAACAACAACAGCAACAACAACAACAACAACAACAACAACAACAGCAGCAACAAAAACAACAACAGCAACAACACTTATTATTAGGCCATCATTTTTTATATCTATGTTTCGCGTCAGTTCAACTTCCAGAATCATATGCGAGAGGTGGAAAAAAATAAAAAGTTGCAAAATAATAAAAAGGCCCATCAGAGGTGTATGCACTGTACATAGCACAATAGCTCGTGCATGGTGTACATTCGAGAGAAAAATCGTACATCGAAGCACAACATCTGGGTTATCAGCATGAGTAAATATTCACTTTGGACAGAGGAGGCAACCGTTGGTGCCCATGCTTCGCTGGATTATTGTACTGAGACTTCAGCAGCGGTGCAAAGAGCTCCGGAACAACGCATCCTCTCAGCTTGAGGCGATCAATGCGGTCTGGTGTAAGCTCATAGAATATTGCTCCCAGATGCCGAACAAACGATTTACCAACGCTGGCCTAGAGGCCATTTATGAATCCCATCTTCGCCGTATCGCAACCAGTCCACACTGATGATTCGCACGATCGTACACTCACTGTGCATGTTCGATTTTTTTTAATTTTTTTTCCGAAAAAAGTCAAAACGTATGCGTGCGGACGACGCGAAACATAGCTATAAAAAATGATGGCCTTACGGTATATTTGCAAGGCCGTCACAGCCGGGGCGGCTGGGGCGGCTGAGGCTGCCCCACTTTTTCGACCGTTTTTTTTTTTTTTGGAGCACATTACAACAAAGCACAATGATCGCAGCTTAGCGCAAACGTGACAAATCCTTGTCCCCTATCGTGGTTTGTTGCAGAAAAAAGTCTTTCATTGCAGTTACACTGAAATGGCACCAAATGCCTGGAAATGCTTGCAATTGGCTTCAATTTTTGAATTTTTTTCCCGGGGGAGGGTAATGTTTGTCCCCGATCGTAGCGTCTTCTTCGTTTGCTGCAGAATCAAAAAAGACTTTCATAGTAGTTACCGTACACTGAAATGGCACCAAATACCCGGAAATGCTTGCAATTGGCTTCAATTTTTGAATTTTTTTCCCGCGGGAGGACCCCCGGACCCCCATTCCATGCCGCACCGACTTTGGAGGTATTCGACTTGAAGAGTAATGGTACGAAAGGCCTACTTGAAACTATAATTATGACTCCGAGTACAGAAAACACTCAGCCCACATTACGTATTCACTTACCTAGGCTGTTCATTAGCTATCCACTGTTTGCTTTTCCACCCTACAGTCTCCCATTATAATGGAACTCCCTTCAATTATTTAGGAAATCCTCAAATCAGGTCCTACTATAGTTTGTTCCAATTCACCCCTCTCTTTCCTACTATAGTTTGTTGCAATTCACCCCTCTCTTTCCTACTATAGTTTGTTGCAATTCACCCCTCTCTTTCCTACTATAGTTTGTTGCAATTCACCCCTCTCTTTCCTACTATAGTTTGTTGCAATTCACCCCTCTCTTTCCTACTATAGTCTGTTGCAATTCACCCCTCTCTTTCCTACTATAGTTTGTTGCAATTCACCCCTCTCTTTCCTACTATAGTCTGTTGCAATTCACCCCTCTCTTTCCTACTATAGTTTGTTGCAATTCACCCCTCTCTTTTCTACTATAGTTTGTTGCAATTCACCCCTCCTCTCTTTCCTACTATAGTTTGTTGCAATCCACCCCTCTCTTTCCTACTATAGTTTGTTGCAATTCACCCCTCTCTTTCCTACTATAGTTTGTTGCAATTCACCCCTCTCTTTCCTACTATAGTTTGTTGCAATTCACCCCTCTCTTTCCTACTATAGTTTGTTGCAATTCACCCCCCCCCCCCCCCCTCTCTTTCCTACTATAGTTTGTTGCAATTCACCCCCCCCCCCCCCTCTCTTTCCTACTATAGTTTGTTGCAATTCACCCCCCCCCCCCCCCCCTCCTCTCTTTCACTGTGAAGAGCAGTCTTCACAGTTAGTTTTGACATCCAGTTTTTTTATGGCTTCCGGCACAGTTGGTCGTAGCAGCTCCGTTTGGGAGCACTTCGAGAAAGTTGATGGAGGCAAACAAGTTCAATCCAAACTCTGCGAGACGAAGCTCAAGTCCAATGGCTCGATTACAAGCTCAATGCGGGAACTTCTTACCCGACGGCATGTTTCCTGCTCGACAGCTGTAGCTGCCACGGATGCGAAGGTGTCGCAGGCGAAAAGCGCAGCGAAATAAGCAAGCTTGCTGGTGCCACATCAGTGTCGTCCGCTGGACCCAGTCAGCTGAATGCCTCACTGGTTTTGTTGGTGTGGTGCAGAAAAGGTCATCGGAATACATCCACTCTGCTATTTAGCATGTTAGCACGGCACTGCTCTTCTTACGGTGCAAACACCTGATGGGGTAAACCTTACGCTAGTAAGGATAAAGACTACACGACATCAACATTACAGTGATGGGAGGACCACACTAACAATTCGCCCGCCATTCTACCGAGAGATCTGCAGGATGCTTGTGGACAATAAGACCATGCTTCTGAACGCATTTCCTGCCATAATAACATCCACTCTGCTATTTAGCATGTTAGCACGGCACTGCTCTTCTTCGCCATTCTACCGAGAGATCTGCAGGATGCTTGTGGACAATAAGACCATGCTTCTGAACGCATTTCCTGCCATAATAACATCCACTCTGCTATTTAGCATGTTAGCACGGCACTGCTCTTCTTCGCCATTCTACCGAGAGATCTGCAGGATGCTTGTGGACAATAAGACCATGCTTCTGAACGCATTTCCTGCCATAATAACATCCACTCTGCTATTTAGCATGTTAGCACGGCACTGCTCTTCTTCGCCATTCTACCGAGAGATCTGCAGGATGCTTGTGGACAATAAGACCATGCTTCTGAACGCATTTCCTGCCATAATAACATCCACTCTGCTATTTAGCATGTTAGCACGGCACTGCTCTTCTTCGCCATTCTACCGAGAGATCTGCAGGATGCTTGTGGACAATAAGACCATGCTTCTGAACGCATTTCCTGCCATAATAACATCCACTCTGCTATTTAGCATGTTAGCACGGCACTGCTCTTCTTCGCCATTCTACCGAGAGATCTGCAGGATGCTTGTGGACAATAAGACCATGCTTCTGAACGCATTTCCTGCCATAATCACATCCACTCTGCTATTTAGCATGTTAGCACGGCACTGCTCTTCTTCGCCATTCTACCGAGAGATCTGCAGGATGCTTATGGACAATAAGACCATGCTTCTGAACGCATTTCCTGCCATAATCACATCCACTCCGCTATTTAGCATGTTAGCACGGCACTGCTCTTCTTCGCCATTCTACCGAGAGATCTGCAGGATGCTTGTGGACAATAAAACCATGCTTCTGAACGCATTTCCTGCCACAATCACCTTATTCCTCCACACAACCACAATTGTCGCCTAACTTCCACTCTGAATTCTCATTGAATATAGCACCGGCTCTTTGCTTTCTTTGCTCAGTATCGAGATGGCGAAGCCCAGTAAGCTTACCCCGAAGAAAACTCAGCGTGTTGCGTGAGTAGGCGACCGTTTGAAAGGCTTAGCGACACCATTAAAAGCAAGCGCTCGTCCTCCAACTCGGGGTTACTCCACACGTTCAGTACGAGTTTGACGGCAAGGTAGGGCTGTGGCCGTTCACAGTGCAGCGCAAAGTGCAGCAATCGAACACACGCACCGGAACTGTGGCTGGCGAAACGGACGTGATCGAGAGTGTGATCGTGAATGCTGCGGAGTATCGCAAAGCGCTGCTCAAGAAGGACGGCGTTTTTTGATGCAAAGTGAACGAAGATGTGGTGGTTCAAGCGAGGTTCAGGGCAACCTGAGGCGGGGGCGACCTTGTACTACCAGCACGATGGAGCAAGAGCCCACACCGTGAAAGTCAACCAACAACACTGGGCTCGACACGGAGCGAAAGCCGGCTTCAAGATCGCGGTGGTGACACAGCTACCACCGTCCCCGGACCTAAATTGCAACGATCTTGCCTTCTTCGCTTCTTTGCAGTCCGACACAGACCTCGTCACAAAGAAAATGTGAAGGACCTAACCAGCGCCGTCGAGCTTTGCTGGAACAAGTATCCAATGGAGCAGGGCATCCTGACAGTGACAGTACAACACTGCAAAGTGAGGAGCGTGACAGCGAAAGCGAGAGCTAACTTCGGAGGTGAGTTCCAATGTCCTCGGAACAGTTCCACTTGAGATGTGTTTTTGGACTGCTTCTTCTGTACAGCAGTAATGTTGCTCCACTTGAATTTGTTCAAAGCTGTCACTCGAATGAAGAACAATATCATGTTTTTATTGTGTGAAGATAAGCGATAATTTCGGTTGCGCGGAGGAAATATGAACCACGGCGTTCCAAGGAGGAAGAGCGTCTTCGTTGCCAGACCGAGAATATTCCATTGACAGATGATAGGTTCTCAGCTGAACACAAGAAGTCCTTCCTGGGCCAGGATCTCTACATGGGAATGCTTCGATCACACCGAGAATATTCCATTGACAGATGATAGGTTCTCAGCTGAACACAAGAAGTCCTTCCTGGGCCAGGATCCCTACATGGGAATGCTCCGATCACACCTGCATGCTATGCACATTAC